AGTGTGGGGAAACGTTTAAAAAGAAATATGTAATAATAAAATAATGTTATATATGTTATTTATCTTAAATTTATACATTTCTTTTAAATTATAACGTTTATTAACAATGAGTATTAATTTAACTTTATATGCGTCAAAAAGGAAAGAGTACCTATCTAGGTAAAGAAATTCGTAGGCGTGTGTACACTGGTGGGTGTACACAAATTGTGTCACGTGATCCAGCACGTTTGTCCAAATTATTATTTATGAAGAGTTTAAATGAAGACAGTTGGGATTTATAGTTTTGTAAACTTTGTTTTTGTTAATATGAAAACCTAATTTAAGTACATTTACATAAAAATAAACAACTTTGCATGCAAACTGTGCCTTTTTAATATACCTTTATAATTACGATACGATCTTCAGAGATCGAATGAGATCGATTCAATGCAATACGATTCAGATCGTAGATCGATTCACTGGGTTGCGATCCATTACGATCCAAAAAATCGATTCAAAGCTAAAGATCGGGCATCCCTACACAATGATCAATGAACACCTTACTCATATTATAATTTAAGAAAATAATTACTTGACATAAAATCAATAATTGAGTAGTTCTTCACATCTGTTCGCGATAAAATGCTTACAAATTAATTATTCACCTACAATTTCAAATAGTAAAGTACTGTGGCCAGATAAACCTAGGTACTTCAATCTGCCAAATTAATCCATTGGAATCGACTTTATGTCAATACAATATAGTTGAAAATGTTATGACCTGCTGGCCTCCGTACAACAAAGTAGTCTTAATAAAATGTGAGACTGTTGAATGATCGAATACTGTTCTCAGCGCCATCTGTACAATTTTAGATAGAAACATCGCAATTGCAACCCGTCATTGGATCGGCTTGCGACATGGCAGTTACCTTGCGACCGACAACCCTAACTATGCTTTACATTCATTCAACTACAATCGAGTAGATGTCACTACTGTTGCATAGGTTTTTTTAAGGGGGAAAAGTCATCGAATGGCTTCTCCCGCCCGGGTAATGCGATAGGGAATGCCAAACTCTTACTGATTAAAAACCACCCCGTTCCTACTCCTGCACTTCGAGCCGGAGCCCGGAGCCCCGGTAACCCGTTAAGTTCTCTGCGGCTCCGTATCGGCATCAGCCCTATTGGGCCTCATCTGTGGTGGTCTGACGGCTCTTTGAGGCGCGCGCGGAACGCAACGCGCCGAACGCCCGAGTCTGCTAAATCCCCAAGCGGTCACTGGTGACCGCTCTCCACTAACTACATTATAGACCTTATTTCCGATGTTTAGAGACTAATTTTGTATGAACAAATTTAGGGGATGATATTTCAACAGGTTGGATCGGCAGCTGTGCACCTATTCGTGGTTTAAATTCCCATATGGTACAGCGTCAATACAATCGTAGCAACCTTTTTCATTGCAAGTCCATAAAAACTTGTAAAAAGATGAATACTCCTTACTATCTCTCCCTTCAAAAATGACCACCGGAAAATTCAGCGCTCAGGATTCAAAGACAACGTGATGGCGGCTAATTGGGCTCAGATAACATCGGCAGCCCTATTTTGTCGGCTATCAGCTAACTTGCTGTAATTTGTAGCGAGTATTTTGTAGTCTATTGTGTAAATGAAAACTAGATTTTAAGTACGACATTATTTTTATACAGAGAGTCTAGACTCTGTTAATTATTGTACTAGTAGGATCAGGCCCATAATTCTATCAATGAATCTTATATTATTTTTCTTCAAAGTCAAAGCGGATTGATTTCAATTAACATAACAACATACATAACATAACATACAATACGGCACTTAATGCCACTGTACAATGTATCACCCACTTTTCACTATTTATGTTACGAGTCCCATATAATAGGGGGTGAGCCTATTGCCATATAAAGGGCACACGTCCAGACTCCATGCTGCTACTGTGATTTTTTTAAAAAAACCCAATAATACATTTGCCGGCCCGGGAATCGAACCCAATCATCGAATCACTCGACCAATGAGGCAGTAAGTGATTTCAATTAATCCGTACCTAATTAGGCACTTTTAAAACACAATAATTGAATGGTCCGTCCTTCTGTTTGTCAGTGAAGCTAGGTTTCAGCAGAACACAGTCTCTGTTTTCCCATAAATAATTATATATGTATATTTTTATAATAACTATCATGAGACATATCTACTAAATTAATTAAAATCATGAGCAGCGTGCGCGTGAGCTCTACTAGTTTTTCTCAGTATATTCACGAGAGTAACCTGTGATTTTAGTTAAGGTTAAATGTACTTAGAGTTTTAGACAAAGCAAATCGACAACTCAATAAACCTACAATGGTCATTATAATTGTAACACAGTAACAAACAAGAACCACAGTTAACTAGATAATAATGAATACAACACCGGTTTTCTGAATTAATAACGTTTATTAAATAGATCTGAATAATGGAATCACGATCTAATGTCTTGTTGCGGAATATTTAAACAACAAAAATATAATATTGAAGCCTCAGTTTATGGACTATGAGAATGTCTTTTTTTATGGAACAAGCCGGCCAACGAGAACACTGATCACTTGATGGTAAGCAAAGCATGGACACCTAAAACACCAGAGGCGTGACAAATGCGTTATCTGCCTTTTGAGGATTAGGAATTTGAGGATTGTTGGGGATTCAGGAATTGGAGAAGGGAGGAGGGTAATTGGGCCTCCGACAACCTCACTCACATGACGAAACACAACGCAAGCGTTGTTTCACGTCGGTTTCCTGTGAGGCCGTGGTATCACTCCTGTCGAGCTGACCCTTACATGATGCAGCATGGCTCTGCCACACTTAAATTAAATTCGATCGAAACTTGGTAGTGTTTTTTTTTTTAAGGGGGGAAAATCATCGAATGACTGCTCCCGCCTGGGTGAGGCGGAAGGGAGTGTCAGACTCTTACTGACTAAAAACCACCCCGTTCCTTCTCCTGCACGTCGAGCCGGAGCCCCGGTTACCCGTTAGGTTCACCGCGACAAACTTGGTAGTGTTAAGGTCTCTACAGCGGTGCCATATTGACTATCGGTGCATTGAGCTTTTGAAATGCTTTTACAAAAACGCCACCATGTTGGGTTAAGTACAGGAGCCGAACACAAACGATATTCCTCTGCAGCGAGGTGTAAGGCAAGGAGGTGTCACATCGCACGGTTTACCGCTGCATTGGAAGGCATCTTCAAGATCTTGGAATGGAAAAGGGTTGTATGAAGCCGCTCGATGCAGGTTGCTTCCAATCGATATATGTATCTGTAAGTGGTGGAGGCCTGTGTTCAACAGTGGACGTCCTATGGCATGTGCCGTGGACATACCATTTTTTTAAGGAGGTAAAATCATCCAATTACTGCTCCCGCCTGGGTGAGACGGGAGGGAGTGTCAGACTCTTACTGGCTAAAAACCACCCCGTTCCTTCTCCTGCACGCCGAGCCGGACCCCGGTTACCCGTTAGGTTCTCCGCGACTCCGAATCGGCATCGGCCCTGTTGGGCCCCATCTGTGGTGGTCTGATGCCATCAAAGAGCCATCTTTGAAGCGCGCGCGGAACTTGACGCCTATGATGGTAACCACAGTTTTTAATCTTCGAAGGGATAGATAGAGCTGCGTTTGTTTAAATTCAAGTCTTGATGTGTCAACTGTACGATTTTATGATAGGATTTAGTGGCTAGAAGTTCGAGTGTCATATCATTATAGGCTACTTATTTTTCCTTTCATCATACGGGAGAAGCCGTGAGCGTAACATAGATTCTGAAATAGCCCGGCTGGCGTTTGGTGAACAGCACAGCTTAACTTATAGGTACCTATTTTAAGATTGATGGGAATAGCATAAATATTTAGCGAAAATTAGGATTAAACTGTAAACACCTCCTTATGTGTACAACGGCTAGCAACTTTGGAGTAGGATCTGACAATTTATTTATTGGATTTTCGACTTTATATCAATGTAATAAAGATTGAAAAGTAATTGACAGAAAAGGATACCACCGTACCTGTTTGTAGAATAAAAGAGCTAATTTTACAGTTAGTAAAACCCTTCCATTCTATAAATATATTCTAATTCTTCATTAACTACTAACATTATCCTTGATAATGATTGTACGAATCTTTTACTACTACCTAACAAGCTAAATCTTAATCTTATTTTCTATGACATAGAATTCAATTTTAATTGTATTGCTGTCGTAACAGTAATGTGCCATAGACAAGGTCTAGTGATCTCTGTAATTGTTTTTTTTTTGTTTGTTTAAGTTGATTAAGTATTGTTTTATTCTGCCTATTGCCAGCCTACATAGGTAAATTTGAGCATTGTTGACTTAAACGCTGTTTATTTTAGCGCATAGGTTGTAGGTAACATCGAGCAACGAGTAACTGAGCAGAATTAACAGCTGTTCTTCAAAGGGGAAGCTAGAGAAACGGTTATGGGTACCTACTGTTAAGTTTTGCTCGGTGCTAAGTATTAATGAGACTATCGGTATAATCAAAATTTGCACAATTTAATAAACATCTAGGAATTTGAGACATCGTGCTCTATAGTCCGCACTTTCAACTACTTACCCGGCAAAGCTGTTATTTAACGCCATATCGATGTTTTTCTATCAATTAAAAGTACTAAATAAGTGCTAATGCTAAGAAAAAGGCTTAAATACTTTCTAAAAAAAATCCCAAACGTCTCTAGCGGGGCGACCTTCATCTTGACCTTACGGAATAATCACTATCACACTATCACTGAATTAAAAGACAATTAAATTGCGGATATTTTTTCTCCTAGAAAAAAATGTGAAGGGAATCGGCTCATTGAGTAATTGGTATATCACATTAAATCGATATGGCTGACTGCTAGGACGTCTGTGCCTATTCTAAAGAAGAAAATAAAACATTATTGTCTTTGTGTATTTTAAAAAGTTAATCTCATTGTTGTGGAAAAGAAAAGTGAAGGGACGTTCTATATTCAAAAAGTGTAGTATGTTCGATAACTTGAAGGAGCATTTGAAAATAAAATGGCGCCAATATTTAGCGGCATCGTTAGGTAAGTTTTATTTAAGTTTTAAGTTTTTTGTTAATATTTTCATTCAATTAAACTGAGGTCTCGATGGCCAAGTGGTGGCAAGTGCGACTGCCGGACAGGGAGTCTCGGGTTCAATTCCCGGGTCGGGCAAAGTGTTATTGGGTTTTTAAAAACAATCTCAGTAGTAGCACGGAGTCTGGAAATAGGCCCGGTATATGGCAATAGGCTCGCCCCCTATTACAAGGGACTCATAACATATATAATGAAAAGCGGGTGTTACTTTTGTGTGCATCTCTGCCTACATACTAACGGGGATAAAAGGCGTGAGATGTTATGTTATGTAAAAAATGTGAATACATGGAAAGATTAATAAGGCGTTAAAAAAAACTTTATAAAAAAACTTATAATACTGCTTATTACTCAAAGTAACGCTCTCTAATAATATAACGTAACTTATTTCTAGATGTTATAGCCTCTATGTAAGTATATGTATGACCTAGGTATAAGAAAATTCCATAATCTATACTTATAATAAATCTGTAGAGAGGTCAATTCTGTACATAAAATATATTTAAAAAATAACTATCAAGGGGTGGTTAGGGATCGCTACTGATGCCAAAAATGCAATCAGTAAAATTTTTGTCTGTCTGTCTGTCTGTCTGTATGTTCGTTATGGAAACAAAAACTACTCGATGGATTTTAACGAAATTTGGCACAATTATTCTTCATACTCTTGGGCAGGTTATAGTATACTTTTCATTACGCTACGATCAATAGGAGCTGAGCAATGAAGGGAAATATTGGGAAAACGGGAGAAGTTACTCCATTTTTTAAGCTTCCGTCGCGTGTGCAGGCTTATGGGTTAAAGCTGCATAGAAATCATGTATGACGGAAATATTCTCCTTAAAATTATATAAAAAATATTCCTCGACAGCATATGTCTATCTTTTATGGTTGACTCACAATAACACGTGAAACTCCCGATAGCTTAGCAATTCGGTGATTTCTGATTGTATTTGTCTACTCTAACGTTTACAATACTCATTCATAAACTGTACGCTGTAACTGAAAGGCCAATGGTTGAAATTAGCTTGACTCGATATTATAAATGAAAATATGTGAGTTTATGTGTATGTTTGTTACTCAGTCATATTAACACGACTGAAGGGACCGGAATGAAATTCGGAACAGAGGTAGATTATGGTCTGAAGTAATACATAGGCATTTTACCCCTGGGAACGCGGGCGAAGCCGCTGGCAGAAGCTAGTAGTGAATAAGTATACGAACACAGCTGTGGAATGCGGACTTTAGATTGAATCTATATCTAGGAGTTTAACACCGACAATTCCTGGATATTTGTATAGTACTAAGTTTAACTGCTTCGTTGGCTTGGCCGAGTGGTCGCAAGTGCGACTGCAACTCAAAGGGTATCGGGTTCAATTCCCGGGTCGGGCAAATTATTACTGGGTTTTTAAAAAATCTCAGTGGTAGCACGGAGTCTAGAATTGTGCCCGGTATATGGCAATAGGCTCACCCCCTATTACATGGGACTCATAACATAAATAGTGAAAAGTGATTGTTACATTGTGCAGTGGCATTAAGTGCTGTAATTTAGATATTTCTTCTTATCTTCTGATTTATTTCGTTGCGGGACCAAGACAATTCATGTACCTGGGATGCTTCAGTGTTCCGGTGTTTTCATGGTTGTATCTAGTATCTGCTATTGTAGATCCAGGCTTACAGTTTCAGCGTTTTAGGGAAGTTGCGATTTGTCCTTTGATAAAAAAATATCATGATTATTATGTCGTTTCATGGTAGAAACTATATCAGTTATTTCAGTAAAACAGGTTATGTTTCCGTTTTTATTATTGCCCATGCCCATAATACTACAATAATTATAAATTAGAACTCTCGATTAGAGAAATATTTAATACTAGCTACTTCCGCGTGGTTTCACACGCTTTGCTCAGCTTCTATTGGTCGTAGCGTGATGTTTTATAGCCTATAGCCATTCTCAATAAATGCGCTATCAAATCAGACTTGTAGTTACGGATATTAGCGTTCAAACAAAAAACAAACTTCCGCTTTATATAATATAGTATAAGATGGCACGATAAAATCTCCAATACTGTTATTTCATCTCGTAAAATAAAAATCTGGTTATATTGACTATCGTACTTCCTTAGATGTACAAAAAATATGTTTAATTATATTCCTAATACGGTGGACATTACATAGCAATATATTGATGCTATATAAAAGGACACGCGCTCCGTAGCCTTGTAAATAATTATTGTTATCCTAACAACTACCTGTATTAGAATTGAACAGTGATTCTCAAGTATATTTGACACTAACACTTATTATACTATGACTGCGTAAAAAAGAACGTTACCTGAATGAAAATTTTAAATTATAGTTGAGTAAAACAACTGCAATTATAAAACTGATTATCAATTAAAAAATTAAATAAATAAAAATTTGTAACAAAGGGATTTCACATCACAATCGTAACACCTATTGTATAAAAATAACTTAAGATTATTTTTAATGGATCCCAAATGTAATAAAATTTATTAATATAACAATTTTCGATTCATTTCAAGCAACAGAGGTTCATGAGTTTCAGTCGCGACTTTCGCTACTTCAATCGTCGTCTTATGGTCATATTACTTACACTTTAACGGCAACGCGTTAAAGTAAAATCCCACGTCATTTAAATTTGAACATTAAATCTTATGTCGTATGATATACTTCATAACGTCAATACAAAAAATCTGTGCAACCTTTTTGTATTGCCACGACCGTGTCACGTCCGTACCGTTCTGTGTGCGATGTCCCATACTCAAACAATCTCCACAAACAGTTATAATTGTACGTTATGCATAATTAACAGAAATATTAGACAAATTAATGCTTTGAAGCGAAAAGTTTGAGAATCGCTGCAATCGTGACAAGCAGGCCAGGTGGGAGGTATTGCATTATATTAGTCGCTGACTGCAACCAATGTTGTAGATAATCAAAATTACATCTAATCTGTTAGCTGATCAATTTATTCATGTTTATCGTTATTTAAGTTGTTATTTAGTTGCCTGATTCCGTTACATAATTGGATAAATTAGTCCCAAGTTTTTGTTCGCGAAGTCTCATTTGTCGTTAATGAAGCTTAGCTTCAATCAGTATTTTAACGATGTTTATTTTTTACTCGAACTGAAACGAATTTGATGATTTCGATACAGATTACTTAGTAAGTACCGACATACGCGCAACTGGTCGCGGGTTCGATTCCCGCACTGAGCAGTTTTTTTGTGTGATCCACAAATTGTTGTTTCGAGTCCGGGTGTCATGTGTATGTGAACTTGTATGTTTGTAAACGCACCCACGACACAGGAGAGAATACTAATGTGGGGCAACGTAAAAAAAAACTCTGAGTATCAATGCTCTCTTTTACGGAAAATGCTTCCTAAATATAATTTTCCAAAATTCCACAGTAGTAAAGGCTTTTCAATCCAAAAGACGCAAGGATGAAATTAATTTTTAGAATATTGAAAGAACTGGCTTACTTAGGTATGGGTTCTCTTTTTGGTTACAACTTATTAAGTAACTAACACTTAAGATCTCACTTCAAGGTCTATTGGATCAGCTTAGCTATTCTGTAACGTCCAGTTTCTTTAACCTATCTCTCTATAGATTTGCTTACTAGAGATAGAATTTTGACTTGAGCTCCATACAAAATGTGTCAAAATTCTATCTCTAGTAAGCAAATCTACAGATAGATAGGTTATAGAAACTGGACGTAAGATGTCCTCGATCACCGTCCACCATGTCATTGGTTGTGAGAATAATCTCGACCAATGACGAGTAAGAATGCGATCAATCTCACTTCGAGAGTTCGAATTGACATCTTACAGAATAACTTACGAGTACCTACTTCCAAAGCTTAATATAAATATTCCTTTCCTTCTCACTTTTTTTATTACATCTTTTGTTTTGTTTGTAAACATACTGTTATTGTTATTTTTGTAAAAATGTTTAAGAAGAGCGGAGTCTCCTAACAAAGGTACATCTTGCTCAAAAGGAGTCCCCACCAAACACGACAATACAATATAATCACAAATTACAATAGTAAAGGATTCTCATTTCATTTTTCATTTTCATTACATTTCGCTCCAGTAGTATAGTGAGTAAACATGGGCAGGACTTGCCATCTGGTGACATAGCTGCTCGTTTACCGCCCTGCTAAATAAAAAAGTCTAAACAACATTGAGACCTTCAGTAGCCAGTATTTCAAAAGCTTAAAATATTTCAATTATATTTTATAGCAAGTTACGGGAGTCTATGTACGGGGATGTCAATGGGCTGGACGTCGCCCGTGCTGCCGCAGCTGCAGCGGCTGGAAAGCTCCCCGCTGCCGCAGGTGCCCACCCTGCAGCAGGAGTCCTGGGTAGCCTCGCTGCTGGTGCTCGGAGGACTTTTGGGTAAGTCTGTACATAGTATGTAAGTAGTCTTCTCTGGAGGAAACAATAATAAAGTAAAGACAATCAATGTGAAATGTTTGAGTGTCCAGCAGTCATTACCTAATCAGAAGTTTCGCTCTTAGTAATGACTTTAACAAAGTCTGTATGTTAACTGATCCCGTAGTACGACTTCGTTTTACGTATAAAGTAATCGAAATGTGACCGCGGTGCTCTGATTGGCTGGCTCAAATGAATCAACCAATCAGAGCGCCGAACTAAGGCACTTCTGAATTTCGCAGTCGAAGTAAATATCATTATCATTTTAGGTTTCAATTATAGATGGCGCCACAAAACTGACACGCTCATATTGACACTTCAGGCATAGTCTCAATTAAGAGTAATAAGTATTTGAAATCTAAAAGCTTAATAATGCTTAGTTCAATCCCAATCCTAGGCAACACCTAAACCTTCCTAATACATCTTCAACAGCCTATAAATGCCCAATGCTGAGCAAAGCCTCTTCTCACACGGAGAAGGTTAGAGCATTAATCACCACGCTTGCTCAATGCGGGTTGGCGATTTCAAACTTATAATTAGAAATTATAAGTCCAGGTTTCCTCACGATGTTTTTCCTTCACCGTTTGTCAGTGGTGTCTAAATAATCTTAGAAAGTACATATAACTCGGAAAAAGTCACATTGGTACTTGCCGTTGGTAGGTTTCGAACCTGCACCCTCATGCATGAGAAGTGGGCATCTTAAACCTCCGGGCCACCACGACACAATCCTAATACATACGTACCTATAACACATAGGTACAAGCGGTTTTTTATCCAGAATAAAAAACTAAACTGTACATAACTCTACTAAATTCCAGGTCCTCTAATAACCGTGCCTCTGTCCCGGCTCGTGGGTCGGCGGTGGATAATCATGGGGTCAAACATACCCCTGCTGCTAGGGTGGCTGCTGGCCGGCGTCACCACTAACCTGGAGACGCTGTACGTCGCCAGGGTTATGTGGGGCTGTGCCACTGGTATGATGTTCGCTACTGTACCTATTTATATCGGGGAGATTGCTGAGGTGAGTTACAACTTGTAAAGATATTGAAGCTTTTTATCTCGAGAGAACAGATTTTTATCATTGACTTAAATCCTGTATCTTTAGAATTATTTTTCCTTTTAATGCTTCCGTGGAGAAAAGTCAAAGTCAAAATCATTTATTTCAATTAGACCAGAAAGGCACTTCTGAACGCCAAAATGTACTATTCATATTAGATTTGGCTATGCAGTCCTGCATAGCCAAATTTCAATTCCAATTCAAATCGATAAGCGTTCTGAATTTTTACCAATACCATCCAAAAATCGAGATCGAATGCTTGTGACCATTTCCCCCTCCTAACCTATGGGTAGAGTCAACTTTCTAAATTAATTTAAAATATCGATTTATTCACGTAAACGTACTGAGAAAACTTCTACTAGTTTTGAGCTGCGCCTCGTCGCCTCGACCGCGCACGAGGTGCTGCTCATGAGAAAGAGCCCCTCTATGACTCGAAACTAGTAGAGCTTTTCTCAGTATATTTACGTGTATAAACTGATCTTTCTCATTCCTTTATTTACCAGTTTCACAAACCTACAAGTATTTATATATTTTAGGACAAAATCCGAGGAGCTCTCAGCGCTTTTTTCCTACTATTCATAAACGTGGGCTTCCTACTGGCGTACGCTATAGGCCCGTTCACCTCCTACTGGGGTCTGACGGCTACTGGCGGTATACTGTCGCTGCTGTACGTTCCCTGTACCTGGTACATACCTGAGACTCCATTCTACTTGGTTTATAAAGGTAAGGCCTATTTGTATTGAATTCACTGGCCCTAGAAATTATGTGAGTTTGGTTAGTTAGAGTGTACACAGCTAGGGGACTTTTAACCACTCAGGACAGATATCTATACAAGGCTGCGAAAAAAATCTACGAGATCTCAAAGAGAAAGTTGTCTTTCTTGCAGCAGTACATACTGAATGTGACACCCACTTTTGCCCAGATATGTTACGAGTCTCATGACATAAGGAATGCCTCCGAAATTTGAAATATCCAACAATACTTTAACCAATTCAGAACTTGCACGGTTCTTACATATAATCTTTAGTTTGTTCCGAAAATGTTGGCTTGAAAAATTGTCGTGTAAAAGTGCTGCCTTGTAGCCTATTTGCAGAAATAAATTCGCTTGTTTCACTTGAATATGACCAGTTCAACCATTTCACAAATGACCACCAGCACCACACACTACATTCTGATACTTATTTTTTTCTTTTAAAAAGGGAAAATGGAAGAAGCGTCCGCAACACTGCAATCTCTTCGTGGGACATCGAAGGAAGCTGTTCAGGCAGAGTTGGAAGGTTTACAAACAGTCGTAACGAGGGAATACAAGGAACCACCTAAGATCAAGGACTTATGGGCCACCAGGGGCAATGTAAAGGCTTTAGGTGAGTTCAAAACCGTACTGGAAAGTGTGTCATTAACCTACTACGCCTAACGGGTCACCGGGGCTCCGGCTCGACGTGCCGGAGAAGGAACGGGGTGGTTTTTAATCAGTAAGAGTCTGATACTCCCTCCCACCTCACCCAGGCGGGAGCATTCATTCGATGATTTTCCCCGACCATTTATTGAATCCTTCCATTTAACGCCCGAATACTGAAAGGCTACTCAACTTAAGTTGTACTTGAATATCGTGCCATCTTTGTCATTTTACAAAGAATCTGTAGAGACAGAACTATACTTGGGCGAATTGACTGCACGGTTGGTGCGGTGGCTGGACAACCGACTGCCGTGCAACGTGTCGCGGGTTCGATTCCCGCAACGGAACAACACTTTGTGTGATCTACAATTGTTGTTTCGGGTCTGGGTGTCATTGTGTATGTGAACTTGTATGTTTGTAAACACACCCACGACACAGGAGAAAATCCTAATGTGGGGCAACGTTTTATAAAAAAAAAAATTAAAATTGAATGACGTTTGAGTATTTCAGTGTTGCAAAATAGCTTGGGCCTCGATTTAGTCCCTAGAACGGACAAAAAGCATGTACAGCATGCTGGTACTGGACCATTCGTTTTGCAAATCCTTGTTTAAATATCATGTCGTTTAGATTTAAATGGCTTATAGGATTTTAGATATACCCGTGTTCAGGCTCAAAGAACAGGAGTTGGAACAGGGTGTGCGATTAGCTGAACCGATTTTCATATAGTTTGCAGAACTGTGTTTGTTGCACTTAGGAGAAGGTTATAATATAATTTAAAGGGGATTTAAACGTTGTATGGTGGATAGGGATCAAGAGGTGAATGGAGAAGAGTGGTGAATAGATTAGGAAATTCTTCTTAGTATCGATCCACCCCTTTTCCGTTCCTATTCAAATCTCGATCCCTATTCACCCCATTTTTCCGTATAAAAGAATTACAAATAGTATCTACCTATGTTAAGTTGTATCTATACAAAACCATTGTACATTATAAATGGTTTTTCTTTCTTTCTTATGCTCAGGTATCTGCGTGTTCCTGGCGATGTTGCTGCAGTTGTCAGGTATAGACGTGTTGTTGTTCTACATGGAGGAGCTGCTCAGTAAGGTCGGCACCAACCTGTCGCCCTCGGACGGTACCATCATTATGGGGGTTGTGCAGGTAATCATCTTATGCTATTACATATATGAAGCTGAAGAGTTTCTATGTTTGTTTGTTTGAAGTAGCTAGTAGGTACTTTATATTTTACGCTGGAGTCACTATAGACCTTGGACTCTAATAGTGGAGTCTCTCGGACAGTTTTTATGATGATAATCGAGAATAATCCCGTTTTATGAAATACTAGCTTCTGCCCAGGACTTCGTACGAGCATTCCCGTTTTTTCCCGTTCCCGTTCCTGATTTTCAGTAAAAAGCAAAAAATCTATACTAATATTATAAAGCTGAAGAGTTTGTTTTTTGTTTGTTTGTTTGAACGCGTTAATCTCCGAAACTACTGGGCGGATTTCAATAATTATTTTTGTGTTGGATAGTACATTTATCGAGGAAGGTTATAGGCTGCAAAACATCACGCTACGACCATTATGAGTCGAGCAGAGCGGGTGCAACCGCGCGGAAGTAGCTAGTATATGGATAAAAAGTAGGTACCCTGGTTTAGAACCAGGGTACCTACTTTTTATCCATATACCTCACCAATTTTCAAACAAATTAATTTAGTATTTCTTTTGTTACTTATAACTAACAGCACTTTCTTTTATAATGTAACTATGAAGTCATCTACGTTACGAATTGAGCTGTGTACCTACTTAGTTCTATCGTACAATAAAAAATAACATAATATCACGCCTTTTATCCCCGAAGGAGTAAGCAAAGGTGTACATTATGCCACTGTAATGTAACACCCACTTTTCACTATTTATGTTATGAGTTCCATGTAATAGGGGGTGAGCCTATAGCCATATACACGTATTAACACATATTGACACATGCATCACCCTAAGGTTGACTGCTAGAGAATGCCACTAGGCCGCCATTGTATACCCCTTGTGCAAGAAGTGTAAATAAAATAAATAAATAGTTTCTTAATTTACGTCACAGTAACATTCTCCATCGATAAATTGTTTCAGGTGGTGACCAGTTGCATCACGCCACTAGTAGTGGACAGGCTCGGCAGGAAACTCCTCATGTGGACTACCTCTCTTGGACTTACCATCTTCTTGGTGAGTTATTTACCTGAGGTCGTGGTTCAAGCTTGTTTTACGTTTAAAGTAATCGAGACCGCGGTCGGGACTCTAATTGGTTGGTTCATTGGAGCCGGCCAATCAGAGCGTCGAACGCGGTGTCTTTTAGATTAAGCCTCGTTCTAAGCCCTCTGATACTTATTTCGTTATTTCAAATTTCGAACATGTTTTTTTTTACGATGACGTCTAGGTTGTGATCATAAGTATATTACATATTATTATGGTGAAAATATAGGGCTATCACTACTGTAAGTTGAGGTAATTTTTATGGGAGGAGTAGATCTTTTTGTGCGAGATCTCACCTTATGGACGGGGTTACCAATGGAAACCCGCAACATCAGATGAGTTATAATTGCGTTGACAGCCTTTCAGGAACAATTGCCAATTTTAATAACCTATCAAAAGGCGTTGAAAAAATAGCGAACATAGTCTCTTGAAACAACGACTGTGGCATCTGGCTACTATAGACTTACACGCAGAATACACACACATTGACACGAAGGACATCTGTAGCGCGACATGGCCCGTCATTATACTTCATACATTACAGTGTTGCAAGTACTCGTACACATAAATATACCACTGATAAATTGATGCTTCAATCTTTCTAAGTCCCATTACGTCCGCCTTTTTTTCAAAGTCCTTGAATCTAATCTTGTTGTTATTTTGTTGTATGAAGTTTCCGTCGAAGTAAAATCGATTTTAATCTACAGACTTTGAATTGAGATAGCTTATTGAAATTAGCCGTTACATATTTAGGGATGGGGTGTTTTTTATCATAATAAAATGTTTCTGCCTCGTTGGCCGAGTGGTCGCAAGTGCGACTGCCGGGCAAGGGGTCTCGGGTTCGATTCCCGGGTCGGGCAAAATATTACTGGGTTTTTAAAAAATCTCAGTAGTAGCACGGAGTCTGGAAATGTGCCCGGTATATGGCAATAGGCTCACCCCCTATTACATGGGACTTATAACATAAATAGTGAAAAGTGGGTGTTACATTGTACAGTGGCATTAAGTGCCGAAATGTGTACCTCTGCCTATCCTTTCGGGGATAAAAAGGCGTGATGTTATGTATGTAAAATGTTTCTCTTTGTTTATTTGTACGACAGACTTTAATCGGCGTGTACGCACTGATGGACTCGTACTACAAGTATGACGTCACACACATCGCCTTCCTGCCGCTCTTGTGTCTTATCGTTTATATGATACTCTTTACTTTAGGTGAGTTGTTTTACATTTAATTTCGATATTTGATATATTTAGACAATCAGTATCGTTAGACATTAATTAATTACAATTAGTTACCGGTTTATTCATTTAATGTAAAATAATTATATTTTTCAGTTTTTTTTTGTTATGTAAGTAAAGCTAAACAGTTCATTTGAAGGCGATAATCTACGAAAGTATTTGTCCGAATTGAATATTTATTTTTGTCTTGCATAGTCCTTTATAAAAATATTCAATTTAAATTAGTAAGTAAGTACTTCCAGAGATCAGCACGTTCAAAGAAACAAACTTCAGTTTTATATAATATTTTTTTTATGGAATAAGCCGGTAAACGAACAGACGGATCACCTGATGGTAAGCAATTGGCGTCGCCCATGGACACCCGAGTGCGTTACCGACCATTTGAGGATTGTTGCTGATTCAGGGATTGGGGAGATTGGGAAGGGGAGTAACTAGGTCAGTCACACGATGAAACACAACACAAGCGTTGTTTACTTGTTTCACGTTTCTGGGAGGCCGTCGTAGTAATATAACATTAGTCTCTACGTACTCAGGAATTGAATACTAATTTATCGATGACTGCACGGTTGGTGCGGTGGCTGGGCAACCGGCTGCCGTGCAACGTGTCGCGTGTTCGATTCCCGCATGGAACAACACTTTGTGTGATCCACAAATTGTTGTTCCGGGTCTGGGTGTCATGTGTATGTGAATTTGAATGTTTGTAAACGCACCCACGACACAGGAGAAATCCTAGTGTGGGGTAACGTTTTTTTTTAAAAAAAAGAAAAGAAAAGAACTAAGTTATATTTTGTCTCCAGGCGTGGGTCCAGTGCCGTGGATCCTAGTAGCGGAGATGTTCCCGGTAAAGACAAAGTGTTTGGCCGGGGGTATCTGCTCGTTCATGTGTTGGCTGGCTGGCTTCGTGTGGACGAGGTAGGTTATACTTGTGTGTACTGAAACTGTCTAATACTATTAACCCGTTAAAAATTGTTGAAAAACATCCCCTAAATTTGTTCATACAAATGTAGTCTCTAAACATTGGAAATAAGGTCTATAATGTAGTTATTGGAGAGCGGTCACCGGTGACCGCTTGGGGATATATGGGTAGGAGCAATTCGTGTTATGTTTCTATGTAGGAAACGGCAATTTCTTTTGGATTTTTTTTTAATTTTGTATTCAGAAGTTAGGGGCGATAAATCGATTAGCTAGGGTTCATTGTCATAAAATGTCGTTTACTAAAAAAGACACCGAGCATAAAGTTCGACCATCCAGGTAGGTAATAGGAATGAATCTTTTAATCCTTGGCCAATTCAGTAATACTATCTACTGAATTTACAATCATTCTCGCGACCATACCATCGAGTCGAGAGTAAATATCATACAGGGTGACTTGTAACTCGACGTATTCCTTTCGGGAGGTGATAATACAACTTATTTCCTACAAAATTAGCCCTGAGGTCTCTGGTCCGAAAGTGGCTAGTTTCTGAAATATTCAACATTTTCGGTTTTGGTAAAAAAATCCGGTAGGTATCGGGTTCGATTCCCGGGTCGGGCAAAATATTGCTGGGTTTTTAAAAAATCGTAGTGGTAGCACGGAGTCTGGAAATGTGCCAGGTATATGGCAATAGGCTCACCCCTATTACATGGGACTCATAACATAAATAGTGAAAAGTGGGCGTTACATTGCAGTGGCATTAGGTGTCGTAATGTGCACCTCTGCCTACCCCTTTGGGAATAAAAGGCGTGATGTTATGTTACGTTACCTATTATAATTTATTTACTATTTACCTATATTATGTTATGTTACCTATGTAACTTGATTTATTTACCTACTAATTAATTACTATATTCAGATTCTTCCGCGACGTGGCAGCTTCGTACGGCATCTACACTGCATTCTGGATCCTCGCTGTGTGCTGCGGGATCGGGTTTATATTCTCAGCCACATTACTGCCAGAGACCAAAGGCAAAACCTTCGACGAAATACAAGAAATGCTGAACAATAACAATAAGTAAGATATTTATTTATTCTTAGTTATTGAGGCATAGACATGGTGTTTTATGACACCATATCTCAATAACTGCTCAATAATTCAATAATTCCTCTGGCGTTGCGGGTGTCCATGGGCGGCGCTGATCGCTTACTATCAGGTGATCCGTCTGCTCATTTGCCTCCTATTCCATAAAAAAAAACGAACTCCAACTTCAATCTTTCAAGAAAAGAGCGGCTTTTTAAAAGGCCGTCAACGCACTTGTGACTCCTCTAGTGTTGCGGGTGTCCATGGGCGGCGCTGGTCGCTTACCATCAGGTGATCCGTCAGCTCTTTTGCCTCGTATTCCATATATTTTTTTTTTGTACAAGAATCTTATTACAAATTCAAATTTTTTTTCAATTAATAATTAGTTACGCACTTTTGAAACGTCAAAAATTGAATTGTCCGTTCGTCTGCCAGTGTAGCTAGGCGCTCGTTCCAAAGTGTAGTTTCGAATGGAGTAGAACAAGCAACACTATCATTACTCTTTAAAAAAATGTTTTACAGTAGGTATCATTGATACATTATGTACTACTACTGCTTTACTTATAACGTAACGGGGTAACGTTACCCCAGTCAAAACATTTTCTTTCTAATGAGAATATTTAAATAATTACTAGCTATAAAATTATGTGTCTAGATGAAGTAAATGTTGTGCCTTATTTTGTATTTGTTCTTTCATCGGTTGTGAAGTTATTCGAGATTTTGCTGGGGTAACGTTTTTGGTTTCGCTAGATCTTTTAAATAATTAGGCGGATTCTTATCATATTTTGTACATGGCTTCTTAGGAATTAGTTTAAATTTGTTGTGCAATAAAAAACCAAAATAATACATAGCTTAAATGTTATTTCATTAAATAGGAAAACACTTAAATTGGTCCCAGCACTCTCAATAAGAGCTCGAAAGAAAAAGGTCTGGCTGGGGTAACGTTACCCCAGCAGGAAATGTTTTTGTGAAATAATTAAAAAACTATAAGCCCAACAAATTTAATAATGTGCGCAACAATTACAGAAGCCGCACAACTAATTATTATTTATAAGATTCAAATGACCATTTGCGACAACATCTGGCCTGGGTAACGCACACTGAACGCGCTATGTTCTGGAACTAGTGGTTCGATTTGAAAAAATATTTTTGTGCCGGATAGTCCAGTTATTGATCAAGGCTATATAATATAGGCTATATAACATCACGCTGCGATCAACAGGAGCTGAGCAGAGCTGGTGAAACCACACGGAAGTGGTTATTCGAAATAAAAATACAGTTCAACCTAGACACATTTGGGCGCGAAGCCACTAGCAGAAGCTTATTATTGTCAGATTCAAGATTACAGCTAATGATGCATTGTAGAACAATTTTTTAGGAATATCTGATTGTATTTGTATTCGCAATAGTGGCAGTAAGAGCATGCGATAGGAAATAGGAAATACGAAGAAGAGTATATACAGCTTCACAATAATTTATTGTTCACTCGATAATTATTGTTTATATGTACATTTTTAGATAATGGAATGAATGATACATAACATAAGCTTTTATTTTTCAGAACAAAGGAGGTCAAGCCAGTCGACGTATAACACAATCAATAAAATCTTAACTTCTCAATAAGTATAAATCCAGATGTTATTCGAAATAAATTATTACAAAAAACGTGATACAATACTTTATTCTATAATCTTACACAATAATTTCATTAGCATTAAGTATATATTATATGGTAAGTAGTACAAGTTTATCTCTGGAACTGTAGGGGGCAGATTCTGAGTCCGATTACGTCTTTGCCTATTTCCGCGACACCGCAAACAGGACAGAGCTTGCCTTTGTGTTCTGGGAGGAAGCTGGCACCGCATAGAGAGCACTTCTCCTCAGGCTTGCCTCTATAGATGGGCTTGTAACTTATACCACATATGTTGAAGGGATTATGTTCGTCGTACAAGAGTTGGTGTTCATCAGTGAGAGATTTTTCGCAAGCTTGTAGGATTTTTCTGGCTTGTTGGGCGACTTCAGGCCGCGGGCCGAGTTCTAGCAGTCTCCGGGCGAAGGACGCGGCTGTCCTGTAGTTCTTGAGTTTGAAGAACATGTTGAGAGCTGTCCGCAGAGTCAGGATCTGGTGGACGGGCTGCAGCTTGCAGTGGGTGAAGTACGCCGCCATCTCGCATGTGCGCTTCTGTTCTTCTAACGTGTTCTTCGGCATGGCTGTGGAATTATTTAAATTTATGAAGCTATTTTAATCTTTGCATAATACCTTTAAAATGTGAGTTAATACTAATTGATGATAATTTGTAGTAACTAAACAAGGATTTGTCTATAAATTTCAAATTTTAGTAAAGGTTATAAAAAGTAATTGTCATTACTATATATATTTATTTAAAATTCTCCATAAATTATATTTCTAAATACTACTTACAAAATAAAAAAAATAATATTTAAAAATATAAAAAATAGGACCCGACCAGTAGCGGGAACATGGTCCAAGCTACCGGTGGTTAGGGCTCCAGAGACAGAAACCTCCTCACGATACGTGCCGTTTTTAGGAGAACTGCCTTCTGTATCAGGCCCTTGATCCATCCACCTAACGCCAGCCTCCTGAGATGGATGTCGAGGCTTTTAGGGATTAACCCATTGGCCGACACGACTATCGGCACAATGATAGCCGAATCCACACTCCACATGTCGACAACCTCGTGAGCTAAGTCTAGATATTTTATTTGTTTATCTTTCTCAGCTTTCACGAGGTTCTCGTCATGGGGAATGGTGACATCGATTATCATCGTGCGGCGTACTTGACGGTCTATCACTACTATGTCAGGTTTATCGGCTACAATAGTCCTGTCAGTAATGATAGACCGGTCCCAGTACAATGTGATATGGTCATTTTCCAGAACTGGGTCGGGCACATACTTGTAGTACGGTACCTCAGACTCAACAAGTCGATAGTGCAAAGCAAGTCATTACTATTATTGTTATATTAATTAATTAACTCATGACTTATAATGATAAGAATAGACTCCCATGTATCCCATTGAACCTTAAAAGTAATACAGTTTTTCTCAAATAAGTTAAAGTCGGTAAGACGTTATTTTAATTAAATTGCGTCTAGTGAAAGGCTACTCTACTTTTAAATTGTACTTAAATATTGTACCGACTCTGTCATTTTACAAAGAACTTGAAGTGGCAGAAATATACTTAAGCGCGACTTAAAATTGAGTAGCGTTTGAGATTTGTACATTATTATGCCTCATGATAGTTATTACACATTACACTTTGAAAGTGTGGGAGAGCCATGCTTCGCAATGAATGAGCCGGCTCGACAGGAATGATACCACGGCCGAGCAGGAGAGTAACGTGAAGCTAAGTTGCGTTCTGTTAGTGAGTGTATCCTTAACAATCCTCAAATTCCTAAACCCCAAAAAGCCGGTAACGCACTTATAACATCTCTGGTGTTCAGAGTGTCCATGGGCAACGCCGATTGTTTACCATCAAGTAACCCGTCCGATCGTTTACCGGCTTAATCCATTAAAAAAATCACAAAAATACCCTAATTATTATTATTATTTCTTGTCATATTTTATGTTTCTCCCATCTTAGTGGGGTTCTAAAGCACGGGCCGAAGACAAGTGCGTAAATAAAATTGTGATAAAACTGTGAATTTAAGTACTTTCGGGTTAGGCGGCAAAATCACAAAAATGCCATTATTATTATTATTAACCTTTCCTAGCCGTTTCCATCTGCAAGCCAAGCAAGTACTCCCTGGCGATGTTGAGTAGTTGCTGCGCCTCCGCGAGGTCGGTCCTGGAGTCGACGTGTAGCAGCGGCACGTGTCGCGCGATGTGCTGGAGGCGCTCCACCGCGTCCGTGAACTTGCCCGCCGTCGTCAGCTGGTAGCACTGCTGCAGCTGTGTCACCAGGTCGTTTAGTTTTGTGGCTGCAATATTAAATGGTTTGGTTAAATATTTGAGAGTTTAATACGTTGATACACGGATTTGACTGCACGGTTGGCGCGGTGGCTGGGCAACTGGCTGCCGCGCAACGTGTCGCAGGTTCGATTCCCGTAACAACTCTTTGTGTGATCCACAGATTGTTGTTCGGGGTCTGGGTGTCATGTGTATGTAATATTGTATGTTTGTAAACGCACCCACGACACAGGAGAAATCCTAGTGTGGGGCAACGTTTAAAAAAATACATCGTACTGAAAATCTCCAAAATTTGTTCATACAAACACAGTCTCTAAACATCGGTAATAAGGTCTATATTGGTGTAAGCGGAGGGCGGTCACTGGTGACCACTTAGGGATTGAGCGGATAAACAATTAATCGATTGGAGTGCTTATTATACAAGGAAATGATGGAATGTAATGGAAGCGGAAGAAGTATGTAAAAACTGCAAAAAATGGGTCTGACTCTATATTTTCTGCTCTGCTTTTGCTAAATTATGGATTGTTTACACTAATTCTAAACGCTTATAACTAAAAGTTTGCTCTGATACATTAACATGAGTTTCAATCCTAACCTAGGAATAAATGACGTGGAAAAACCATCCATTACTTTAAAAAAAAATTCTCCATGCCATTATATCACACTAACATTATAAATGTGAACATTTCTTTGTTTGGATGTTAGTCCGTCAATCACGCTGAAACTAGCCAACGGATTTTAATGAATATATGGCAGGCTATGGGCTGTCTTAGGTGATAGGATACTTTTTATCCCGATAAAATGCTCCCATGGAGTAAAACAGGAATGCAGACCCAAAGCCGCGGGTAAAAGGTTATTTACGAACACAAATTAAATAAGAGATACAAAATAAATACAACAAATAGGTACTTACTGACAACAGGCAGTAGATCCCGTCCACTAGCCTCCTTCCAGTTGCGATGCAGTGCCGCAGGGAGCGGCGGCAGCGAGGCGAGCGCCCCGAACGTCAGCCGAGCGCGCCCGTACATGCCCACGAACTTGTCCAAATACGGCTCGAAGTTCACTATGCCAACTTGCTCGTTTAATAGTCTGTAATATTACAAAATATCTTATTCTATCTTCAATTACTTATTGTATAAAGCTGAAGTTTGTTTGAACGCGGCAATCTCCCGAACTACTGATCCGATTTGAATAATTCTTTTCGTATTGCATAGTGCATTTATCGAGGAAGGCAATAAGTATAAAACATCGCGCTAATTCATATGATTGCCAGCTTATTAACTAGATTAAGCTTTATATTATATAACTTTACCATTTACGGGTCCACAGGGTAACTCACCGACCGGGACCCGGGAATGGCTGATAGATATAGCAAACAGAGGGACAACAAGAATGTGAGTGGCTTAAGGGTTAACAAACTACCGCTTTATTTCTTTTATACGATTTGATACTACGGAACGCGGGCGAAGCCGCTGTGAGAAGTTAACTAAATGTAAAATAGTATTACGTACAATTTCGTTATATATTTTAGAACGAACACCTTCACTGACAGATAGACTAACAGACTATTATTTATTTTGTATTTGTTGACGTTTCAATAGTACCAAATTATGGTTTAATTAAAAGGTTTTGGCTTTATTTAATTTACCTGAGCGCTATCTCGAACTGTCCGGTGGCAACATGGTCGTGTGCAGTGCGTAGTTTTCCCGCCAGGGCGGCGCTGGTGCCGCGGGTTGGGGCCACGAAGTAATCCGAGCTCTCCTCGCCGCCGTCTATATCCGCTATAATACAAAAATAATATTATTTATCTCCTAATAAAATAAGTTTCAACTCTATTACCCATTGCTTAAAAGCTTCGTGAGAATAAATTTAACTATTATTTACGACAAATAAAAATAGATAAATTAGTAGTACTTTAAGAATTGGCATAAACTTTTAAAACTTATAAGATCCATACAAGGGCCCGGACACAAGTCCGTGGAGAAATACAATTTATTATTATTAAAAGAAATATCATAATAAAACCATTAGTCTCGAAGCAAGAAATTCAGTTTTAAAAAGATACAAATAAAAATATCCTATTAACAAAGACTTACCAGAGACAGGTGCCAGTTCCTCAGGCAGCTCCAGGTCCTCGTCCCCAACATCCCAGCCTCCATCATCACACGCGTCTTCCATCACTTCCTCGCCGTCATCACCTTCACCCTGGATACAATAACGTTTTCATTAATAAAACTCAAAGTCAAAGTCAAAATCATTTATTTCAATTAGACCAGAAAGGCACTTTTGAACGTCAATAATAAAATTAAAAGTGAAGCTATTTGCTCATTCCAAGGTGTAGATTCCTATGTAGAAGAACGAGCAAGAAACTCCATAGGTTACTCTTTTTCAATCAGGTTCACAATACGATTCTCTAGTTACATAGTTTGCTGTTTGGATTGTGCGAGAACAATGTAACCCTAAAATCTAGTCAAAGTGATTGAAAAAGAAAATAACCTTAAAAAAACTATATAAGATACAAGTTATTATTAACCGCATTAAAAAAAAAGAGGTTCTCAATATATCTTGTAAGCTGTATGTTGGTGCGAGATTATCTCGCGATTAGCTGAACCGATTTCGATGCGGTTTTAGGAGAAAGTCTTAGTATAATAATTACCCGTATATTCATTAAGTGTGGGAGAGCTATGCTTCGGCACGAATGGGCCGCCTCGATGGGAGTGATACCACGGCCAACCAGAAAAACGACGTGAAATAACGCTTGCGTTGTGGGTTTGTCGTGTAAGTGAGGTTACCGGAGCCCCAAACTACCCTTCCCCAGTCTTCCCAATCCCTTACAATCTTCCTCCCAATCAAATTCCTAATCTCCAAAAGGCCGGTAACTCACTTGTAACGCCTCTGGTGTTTCATGTGTCCATGGGCGACGCCGATTGCTTACCATCAGGTGATCCTTTTGCTCGTTTACCGGCTTATCCTATAAATAACCGACTTCAAAAAAGGTTGAAGTTGGTTTTTTAAACTAAGCTAATCGTACCCCGTCATCTTCCCTATTGGCCGGAGAAACATAGTGGCAGTGCAGGGAGGCGCTTATATTCTCCAGTGGGATGATATCGGTTAAAATCAAATATCATAGTCATCAGCCCGTGTTCATCCACGGTTGCACATAGCCTCTCCAATGGCACGCCACTGAGCTCGGTCTTCAGCTGTACCCATCCAACCACTGCCAGCCTTGCGGATGTCGTCACTCCACCTAGCTGGAGGGCGCCCTACGCTTTGTTTGCATAGACCCGGACTCCACTCTAGAACACGTCTACCCCAACACTTATCGGTTCTTAGACAAATGTGGCCGGCACACTGTCATTTCAGCTTACTAATCCTATGTCGATAACTTTGATTCTCTGACGGATCACAATCAAATATGTATAGTAGTAACCTTATTATCGTCCTGCAAGACGTCCTCGTCGTCTCCCCAGGCGCCGGCGGCCTCCAGCGGCTCGTCAGTGACTGCGGCGGCGGTGACCGCGCTAGTGTCGGCGCCCGCGCGCGCCCCGCCCGCTACTTCGAAGAAACTCCTGAAATAAAACACAACATTCATTGAGCTACCGTGATGATTAATGCCTTTTCCGCGCGAGTAGAGGCTTTTGGTCAGCAGTGGCCACTTATAGGCCGTTGATGATGTATAAATCAACATCCCTCTGTCTTCTAGCGGGTGTAGTAAGAGCAGAAATACGGCTGTAAGGGTGTATGTAGCACTAGTTTGGGAGACAATGCCCAAAGCACTAAGTGCACTGCATCTTGTTGTACTAGTTGTAAGAAGTTGCTGTCAAAAACATGGATCATACTAAAGATATTTTATATAAGGGCTAATTTTGTCAATGAATAGATAACTTTCAACTTTAAAACGAAATTTGACGTAGTATAAATTAAAAACTGTGAAATGTCAATGTCGGAAGAATTGTCAAATACCTTGGCCTATCGTATTTTTGCTAACTAGATGGCGCTAGTGTGCGTCTCTCGTCATTGGACGTTCAATATTTGACAGCTGTTGCGATCCGGACAAAAAACGTATACCTACATTTGAGCAAAATTACGGTATCCCTTTAACCTAGGACCTGAGGCTAGTAACAATATAAATAGGAAGTATGAACTTACTTCGATACTGCCAATAACGGCCAATTAGGTTGGGCGCTATGCACTGGTAGTGGTGGTCTTAGTAGCTGTGCATCTGGGTTCGGTTCCGGGATGGGTAAATTGGCTGCTTCCAACATAGCCTTCAGCTGTTCAGCTTCTTCAAGCTGTTTGTGGTTGATTGCTGTCAGGTAGGCTAGAGAGATCTGTAAGTCAAAGTCAAAATCATTTATTTCAATTAGGCCAGAATGGCACTTTTGAACGTCAACAAAAACAAAAATTAAAAGTTAAGCTATTTGCTCATTCCAAGGTGTAGATTCCTATGGAGAAGAACGAGCAAGAAACTCTATAGGTTACTCTTTTTCAATCAGATAAGATAATAAATAACTGGATAGTAAACTATCCAGTTATTTATTATCTATTATTATATTAATTATATTAATAAATAACTGGATAGTTTACTATCCAGTTATTTATTATCTTATCGCGCGGAAGAAGTACTAAAGTAAAAAATATAAATTGATGACTACTTCCAAATGAGACAGCAGACCGTAGCAACTTCATTAAGATAAATAAAAGTGTCATCCTACTAATTAATATTTTATTTATTGTTCCTTTATTTCTGGCAACTGCGGTCCATATAAAATATAATACACAAATGAATAAAAAATACAATATAAAACTAAAATAGATACCAACAAAATTAATACATCCATAAACTAATAGTTATACAATCAGTCAGTACTTTTTGCATGCAAGACTTTCTTTTTGAGACCACCCCACCTCCTAAATATATCCAATTTTTTTTTTCTTTTTTTGTTTAAAAACCTTTCCTTTTTATCGTGCGTGCGTTTACAAACATACAAGTTCACATACACATCACACCCAGACCCGGAACAACAATTTGTGGATAACACAAAGTGATGTCCCGTGCAGGAATCGAACCCGCGACACGTTGCACGGCAACCGGTTGCCCAACCAGCACACTGACCGTGCAATCAATCATCATATATTAGAGAAAAAAAAAACTTCCAGTTTCCATTTCCCTCGGTGAATTTAATGCAGGAGACAGAATGACTTAATCACGCATCCTTACTAATATTATAAATCGGAAAGTGAGTTTGTTTGTTTATCTGTTTGTTCCACTTTCACACCGTAACTACTTAATCGATTGCTTTGAATTTTTGCAGAAGTAAAGATAGAAGTCCAGATTAAATAATAGGGACATTTTATCCCGGAAAAATTGATATTCTCGAGGGAAAACAAAAGTATTGGTATAGATGGCGCTGTGTGTATTGGTATATGTCACATAGGCTATTTTTTATCATTTTGTGACGCGAGTGAAGCCGCGGGTAAAAGCTAGTAGACTATAAAACATTGTTAACATATACACCAATTAAAGTTATTAATGCTCACCTGTCCAGCATTCTTCAGTAGCCTGATAGTCTCCCTGGTGTCTCCGAGCAGTAATGCACCCTGGAACTGCGCAGACACGTCCTTGCGTATCTCTGCGATCTTCATCATTTTCCGCAACTTGTCCAGGTTGCCAGTGATCAGGTACAGGAAGGAAAGCTTGTCAAAGTTCTTCGTACGTTGGTAGCACATTTCTACAATCTGTTGATGGTTAAATGTTAAAGAATTACTAAATCTTATATATTATGTAGCTGAAGATAACATTATTTACACATTACTGACAGGAGGTGAAGGAAAACGTCGTGAGGAAACCTGAGCTTATAATTTCTAATTATAAGTTTGAAATTGCCAACCTGTATTGGGCAAGTGTGGTTATTAATGCTCAAACCTTCTCTGTGTGAGAAGAGGCCTTTGGTCAATAAGCTGTTGAAGTGTGATGTGAAAGCTGAAGTTTGTTTATTTGAATGCGTTTATTTACGTAATAGCAGTTGGATAGTGCATTTATCGAGGAAGGCTATAGGCTATAAAACATCACGCTATAATTAATAGGAGACTACCAGAGCGAGTGAAATCGCGCGGAAGAAGTTAGTATTAGTATATTATATCAGAACACCCATTCTATATAAGAATTGAGTTGAACTTATAGCAATAGAGAGTGAAACTATAAGGGAAGGGAAACGTTCATACATGAGTCACCAGACTATTGTGGAGGACTTAACGGGTTACCAGGACTACGACCCGAAGAGCAGTAGTAGGAACAGGGTGTTTTTTAGTCAGTAAGAGTCTGACATTCCTTTTTGCCTCATCCAGGCAGGAGAAGTCATTGGATGATTTCCCCCCCTCAAAAGAAGAGACAACGTACCTGATGGTTCCCAGTGGCGAGCGCGGCCTGCGCCAGCTTGGCCCATGCGGCGGGCTCGTCGAGACTCTTGGCGGCCTCCAGCGCCACGTCGATGTTCCCGCACTGCAGCGCCAGCGCCAGCCGCGTGCGGGGGTCCTTCACGAAGTGGAGCGCCACCTCCGGGTACCCTGCGCACGGACGCAGAGAGATAAGAGATATGTCGGTAAACGATCAGGCGGATCACGAAACACAACGCAAGCGTTGTTTCACGTCAGTTATCTGTGAGGCCGCGGTACCCATACCAATTTAGAGGTTTAAACTGTCACCGGTGACCGCAACCTATTGTTCTTTAATTGTGTCTATAATGACGGTACTCAAAGAGTTAATGGACCTGATTGTTGGGGATTCGGAGATTGGGGAGCTTGATTAACAAATGATTATAATAATTGCGAACCTTTCTCCTGTAGGTACGCGATGATGCTCTGCCCCACCAGCTTGGCAGTGCGCACCATGTGTAGCACCTGGTCGTACTGACGGGTCACCAGCGCTAACTTGAACCTGGAACAAGACACATGTTGCTATTATTATTTTCAAAGATATTTTAATTTCCTTCTCGCAAGACTATAAGAAACTTATACATATTATTCTTATCTTTAAATCAATCTGTGATTGAATAATCCTTGTATAAACTACGTTTATTAACATCGACTTAAAATCCTTTTTTTGAAGTTCTCAACTTTTTCCTAAGTATAACAATCCTTTTTCTGAAAACCGCATCAAAATCGGTTCAGCGAATCGCGAGATAGTCGCGCACAAACATACATATAGGTCAAACTGAAAACCCGAAGTCGGTTGATAAAGAACATACATACATACATATTCGCCGTATGTGCCATTGTGTAATCAAACTGTGTACATGAAAGAGTAAATAAATAAACTCGTGTTACCTGTACTCGGTGGGGTCGATGTTGAGCACCTTGGGCCTGCAGTCGCGGTCGAGGCACACGACGCGCGCCGCGCCCTCCGTCGCCAGCACGCGCACCGCGTACACCGGCACGTCCAGCGTACGGATGATGCCGTAGTCACTGGGGGGGATACGCATGTTCATGACATGGCTTTGGTTAAGAATAACAAAACAATATGTAACTCATGTTTCGACCATGTCCAATCGACTGCCTCGTTGGCCGAGTGGTCGCAAGTGCGACTGCCGAGCATGGGGTCTCGGGTTCGATTCCCGGGTCGGGCAAAGTATTACTGGGTTTTTAAAAAATTCTCAGTAGTAGCACGGAGTCTGGAAATGTGCCCGGTATATGGCAATAGGCTACCCCTTATTACTGACTCATAACATAAATAGTGAAAAGTGGGTGTTACATTGTACAGTGGCATAATGTGCACCTCTGCCTACCCCTTCGTGGATAAAAGGCGTGATGTTATGTTATGTTATGTGTTTCGACCATTTAGCACGTATTTCTCGCACACTTTTCTTTTAATTATTTTGAGGAGAACCATGTAATAGAGGGTGAGCCTATAACCATTTACCAGGTACAACTTCGCGACCATGCATAGTTTTATGTAAATAACTAGTTTATGATATTTTTCCAATTTTCAAAATTCACAATAACAGCACAGATTTTAAAACTGGTCGTCGTATGCCTCAGTGTATATGTATAACAAAATATATGTAAGTTATAAAAGTGAGATCACTCATACATTCCCGACTTATCTACAATAGTAAAGTTGAATATAAAGCAATTAGCTACTTCCACGCGGTTTCAACCGCTCATCTCGACGGATATCGTTCGCAGCGTGATGTTTTATAGCCCATAGAGCCTTCCTCGATAGATGCACTATCCAACACAAAAAATATTTTTCAAATAGAACCTGCAGTTCCAGATATTAGCGCGTTTAAACAAACAAACTCTTTCAGCTTCATAAAATAAGTATATATTTGTATTATAACTTTCGTGAGACATACTAAATATATTATCGCGCGCCGCGTCGCGGGTCGCGAAATGCTGCTCATGAATATGAGCATGGCTTGAAACTAGTCGAGTTCCTCGTCAAATAATTACGTGAGTAAGCCGAAAACATAATAATTTATTCAATAAGTATATAAGATAAATCACTCACCCGTCTTTACAGCAATACTTGATATGATTAGCCGTGGTATATATGAACACGGGTTGTGGCGTGGAATCGTCGAAAGCCCCAGACTTGACTCTAGCGCCCTCTGTGATCGTACATAGTTGTTCCAGTTTCTTAGTACAAAGCGTCACTGTGTGCTTGCCCAACAAAGCCACTAAAGACATGTCGGAATTCCATATCGCGTAGCGGCATTTTGATATTTTTACCTGCGGAAAACCAAACGTATTTGATTAAATCGGTTAAGCGGTTCGATGTGCACAAACAGTAGGTAGAGGTTGTATAACATCTTTAATTATTCACCGACTTCTACTATTGCTATTGAATATTATAAACTAGCGACCCGCCCCGGCTTGCACGGGTGCAATATGCATGTATTATACATTATATAAACCGCAACAAAATCCGCTGCGTAGTTTTAAAGATCTAATCATACATAGGGTCAGACAGACGGCGGATAGCGACTTTATTTTATACTATGTATTGATCTAGCTTCTGAAAAATTTAATCATAATCTATTCCTGTTCCAAATTTTATTCCGATCCCTTCAGCCGTTTTAATGTGACTGAATAACAAACAAAGACACAAACTACACAAACTTTGGCATTTTTAATATAAGTGAGATTAAAACCATGTATCGTTGTTAATTTTTTTTCTATTTGAATCGGCAATCAGTCAAAAGATTATGAGTTTAAGCTGCTCAGTTGAATTGTTATGACGATTGGGCGAAGGAACCAGTGTGATACTGGTTTTTGTGCTTTTTCAAAGCACTTTCTTCTGCTTCAGCCTGTTCGCAGTAAGCGTCGTTGCAAGTTCATTGACATTTTTCATATTTTTTTTATTTATAGATATTTAAAATAGCACAATAAACGAAACTAATTTTACCACTATATGTAGTAAACACTAATTCTTACTAAGGACAAAAAATACTATGACTGTTTACGAGGGTCGACAAATTAATAAGCGCGCCATCTATCGGCGTCATTAATCAAACTGTCTTTTAAATGTCATACTAGATGGCGCTAAATACAATTTAATATTATACTTACGGAGGCAATAGTCCTCTTCTGTTGTACATCAAGCAGTTGCACGGCGTCTGCTTCCCTAAGCAGTAACATGCCGGTGCCCGCGTACATGATCTCCTCACATGTCGGCGTGGATATTTTCTTTGATACTTCATTCTTCAGGTTTTTGATTACCAACTGTGAATGTTGATTGATATATTGTTAGTATTATTAATTGGTAACTTTTACCTAACTTTTACCCGCGGCTTAGCCCTTGTATTCCTGTTTTATACCATGGGAGCATTAAATCGTCAAAATAACGATGTCCATAGGCGTTACCATAGATAAGATTTATATGTAACAGACAACAAGTCATCATAAGCTTATAGTCGGTCAAACTTTTGATATAAGTAATTACAAACATAGAATGATAGTGAAATGTACCTGATTGTTCTTCTCGAGCGCGGCGAACCTGTTCCTGGCGACCCAGACGGCGGTGGTGGCCTGTCCGCGCGAGGGCTCGGCGCCGACGGGCCCGGCGGCCCCGGCGGCCCCGGCGCCGTCGGCCCCGTCGCGCGGCGCCGCGTACAGCTCGTACGTGCTGGAGTCGCCCGCGCGCCACGTCACTAGCACGCACCACTCCGCGTGGTTCAGGGACATACTGCCATTGTACAATGTACATTATAAAATTTGTTATGAAATATTTTATGTAAAATACGATTTTTTTGAAGATGGTTAATTAATACGCCAAAACCTTCTTTAAAGTGTAACAAACAATTTTCTGAAAACCGCATCCAAATCGGTTCAGCCAATCGCGAGACGATCGCGCACAAACATACACATACATACAGATCAAACTGAGAACCTACTTTTTGTTGAACTCGGTTAAAAATACTAACTTCTTACAACGGCTTCGCTTGCCTTTCCGTGGAATAAAAATTGCCTATATGTCTTATTATTTATATTTTAACGATTGACCACTATCTCGCCTGGTGGTAAGCGATGATGCGGCCTACGATGGACCCGTCTGCCCTATTCCATATATTATAGAAAGTAACCTATTCACTCGGGCCTTGAAAACACCCAGGTATATACACCCTTCATAATAGCACTTTAACTGGAACGGGAATTGGATTTGAGATTCCTTGTGTTTGTTTGTGTCTACAAGTCATTTAGTTTGTGTATATAATGGGTTAGTATTTTATATTATCGTTAATTTATTTAGGTACCTGTAAGGCTGGTTGCGGCCGCCTCCTTTGATCTGCATCACGGGCGCGTCGCGATTGGTCGCCATATCCAACTTGCGCAGTTGTCTGGGAAATTAACATAAAATTGAGTTAAAGCAACCGGCAATAGGTCAAGGACATCATTATAATAGAATTTTAACCTTACAGTTTTGAAATAACGTTGAAAATCAGTTAAAGAAATATATCATCTTTATGTGCTTAGTCTACATGTTTTCGATAATCAGCAGCTGTAGACAAATGCCATTTAGCGCTTGTTTACATGTAGAATAGAAAACCAAATTATATGGAATTGATACATTTAGTTTTCTAGTCTCTCGGTAGACAAGAGCTAAAGTAGCGTTTGGCTAAAGGCACTGAATACGAATGTTATTCGATTTTGGAAAGTGGTGGCCCGGAGGTTTAAGACGCCCGCTTCTTACGCATGAGGGTGCAGGTTCGAAACCTACCAACGGCAAGTACCAATGTGACTTTTTCCGAGTTATATGTACTTTCTAAGATTATTTAGACACCACTGACAAACGGTGAAGGAATAATATCGTGAGGAAACCTGGACTTATAATTTCTAATTATAAGTTTGAAATCGCCAACCCGCATTGAGCAAGCGTGGTGATTAATGCTCAAAACCTTCTCTGTGTGAGAAGAGGCTTTGCTCAGCAGTGGGCATTTATAGGATGTTGATGATGATGATGAAAATATTATTTGCTTCATTCGGCAATCAAATACGAGACTCGAGAGATTGCAAGGCAATGCAGTGTCAAGAACAACTAGAGTAGTTGCCAGGGAATGAAAATTAAAAATCTAATTAGTCCGTCAGTTATATAATGAAAATATATTAAATGATCTGACGTCAGACGATATTTCAAATCAATATATCGCTGAAAATACTAATAAAAAATCAATTAGTGTCTAATGTCTTAAAATAATCTAGGTACTAGACGGACATTAAAATAAAATGATAATATATTAAAAAAGCATAGCGTCCTACCTGTCCTTGATGTAGAAAAGCATGTTATTATGGACGGCGTAGGCAGGCCTCTCTCGCTGCAGCTTGAACAGCACCATACCCGCGTCATGACCAGCCGCGAATAGATTCAGTGTTGGGTGTGCAGCTAGTACCCAGTATCTGGAAGTAAAATAATAATAGTAATAATTATCTTATTATTTTCTAATAATAACTTAAATTTCAATAATATGTTGTTTGTCGTGCACGCATCTCATGATTATGAGCCCCATTGTCGCTTGTAATTAATCAAGCATCCTCGATACACTTCAAGTGAGTATATCGTGAAACCAAGAACTAAAAATATGATTATTTTTATCTAAACATTTTATGTACCTGAAAGATATCACTCATAAAAATCGACTTCGACCCCCACTTTTTTGAGGTCAGTTTATTATTAGGGGAAAGTACCGTAACGCCAGACGGCAACTAACGCCGGACACTTGTATTATTTCTATAACTAATAACGCGAGTGATAAAATTTTTAGGGGGAAGTCTCCCAGTGGCAGACATCTAAGATTTTTAGTAAAACTTGAATCCCTTGTGTAATCATTTATCGAGATAATACAAGTCCGGCGTTAGGTGCCGTCCGGCATTACGGGTCTTTCACCTATATTAAAAATTTCTAAGTGTAATAAACACGTTTCTGACCGCAACAAAATCGGTACAGCTAAATACATACATACATATATACAGGTCCACCAGAACCACCTTTTTAAGTCGATTAAAAAGAAAGACTACTACACCTATAATGTACAACTAGCCCGTCCCGGCTTCGCACGGGGTAGACAATTATTTATTTTTGGAAATTTGGATTGTTCTAGTGACATAACTACAATAGTTGGACATATGCTACCGCGGAGTTTTTTGTAGACATTATGATGTTCTTTAATATTGCTGTACATTATTTTGTTCTATCGCTAATAGGTTCAGCAGCGCATTCGACGAAAGACATTTTAAGACTCATTTTTCTACACCTTCGGTTACATTGTTCAAATTTTACCAAGGAACCCTATTTTTTTTTCAAAATGAAATGTAGCTTATGTCAAATTGGAAGAATGTAGCATTCTATTGGTGAAAGAATTTTTTAAATCGGCCCAGTACTTTTTGAGCCTATTCATTACAAACATACAAAAACAGGTACAAATCTTTCCTCTTTATAATATTAGTATAGATGAATAACATAAAGAAATGAAATCCTCACTTACCTCTCATGTTCCCTCCGGAAGGAGTGCAAGCAAGTCCTCTTGGTCATGTCCCAGACCCGGATGAACTTGTCCTCGCTGTTGGAGAGGATCAGCTCGTGCCTCGCATGGAACAGCACGCAGGAGACGTTGTTGTAGTGGCCTCGACACGTGTCCACCTCCCAGGCCTTTGGTAGTTGTTCAATGTTAATAAAATTCATTATTAGCTAAAATAATTCACTGATGACTGCTACACAAATGAATTTGGTATTATATTATAAACTATAATAGGGTAGTTTCCTGAGTCAAAAATAAATTATTTTGATTTTCCAGTTACACTTTCATTAATTGATTTGCCGATATACTTATTTTTTTATTTATTCTAGCATTTTTTTTAGATAAAAGTGTGCTATTTGACGCGAAAATATGGAGACGTCATAAGATGGTATTTCGTACAAAATTCTTAGAACTGAGTGCCAAGCACGAATAACTATCGCATTCGTAACGTAACTCTATCGAGCGAGTTAAGCGTTCTGATTGGTTGGTTCACTTGAGCCGGCCAATCAGAGCGCCGAACGCGCTCGATACTATTACGTTACGAATGCGATAGTTATTCGCGCTTGGCACTCGGTATCGTTTTAGACGTTTCGATAGAACTATTGAATTTGAATAGTTGTCAACTACCGTATTATAGCATTGCTTCTTTATTCCATAAAAAATGGTATTTGTCTATTATCTGTTTTTTATACACAGTTGGGAGCAAAGGGAAACGGAACCACTAGCCTTTTTTAATAAATATTGTCTGATACAAGTATTTTATTAATTGGTAACTTATGCTGTATAAAACGCAATTTAGTTACCTATGTTGTAAAAAGTAATTATTATTTCTAAGTAATGGTGGGTTTGATAAAATAAAATAAAAACGCTAGTGGCTTTATTCCTTTGCTCCCAATCACACATAAGAATTTAAACTATTCATTTTATTTGTTTTAAAAACCTGGAATTTATTTTATAACTTTTCAAGAATTGAAAAACTCAATATAGGTAATATTCTGTCAACCGAGCCAGAGATTAATTGTTCAGGACTCGTAATTGGGTATTTGAGCCCTACCTAGTGGCAGGAGCAAAATCAAGTAAACCCCAATTCGAAAAGCATTTTGAGATTTTAGGCTCCCAAGTCGTATATTTACATAGCATACAAATTTTACACAGCGTAGTCAATAGGGTAGATGCCTAATTTTTATTTCAATGCCCGTCTGGTAGATTATTTTAAATCATTAGACACGTATTTTTTATTTTCTTACAGAAACTAATACTTTCGACGATATATTGATTTGAAATATCGCGTGACGTCACTTTTAAGAACATTTTATACGTAGAAATGACGTTTTAACCCCCACTTCTAAACTTCGTTTTATCTAAGTATTGTTTTATTATACGACAAAATAAAAAATACGCGTCTAATATTTTTTCATTACCTATCTTACGGACTAATTATATTTTTTATTTTCATATCCTGTTATCATCCCAATTACCTTTTATTCCATTAATTCTGTACATTTATAAATAAACCATAAAATTAAAATTTAGCTTACCTTTGTTAGTACCACCAAATTAGAATAGTCTTTATTACTATGTACACTTGAGTTAAAATTTCATGAACCGACGTAATAACCTGTTAGAAATGAGAAACAAGACCAACGACCTGACGAAAGGAAAACGATCACCCTCGAAGTCCACCATGAATATTCTCATGCAAAAATGCTAGTACAAGACAGAGTATACAAGCTAATACCACCATTATTAACTTATGTACACAGGCAGTTTTGGCTTGCATTATAAAAGAAGAACTTCGAATGAAAAGGATGTAAAGACCTTGTGATGAATGAGCGAAACCAAACCTTCTGCAGATACAGACAAGGTTGTTTATCGAATGATAGAAAGAGAAACAGCTGTTGATATGTTCCCGCTATCCGTTGTAGTGTCCAGTGGTACCTTGGCATCGTTCATCCTCCAGAGTTTGACCTGTCGGTCGTCAGCGGCTGACACTATAAGCGGCAGGCTTGGGTGGAAGGAGGCCCAGTTTACTCCACGGTCGTGGCCCTCCAGCACATGTTTGACGACGGCGTCCGCCTGCAATATTAGTTGCTTTCAGCAACATTGGTGATGTGTTATAACATCAATATGTTACGTACATATAATTATATAATTTATATTTCATGCAGAGCTCTTAGCTGTCTACAAACCACATACTTACCAAGTTTATAGAGGTTTTTATACTATTATAAAAACCTCGATGACCTAGAAACCTCTCTGGGATCGAACCCAGATATATAGTTAACATTGCTTCATCATTATTTTACTATACCTATGGGATATAAACTGATCACTGAAAACGCAGACAATTATTAAAATTATAAACGTTTTTGTTTTCGTGTTATCAACCTTGAGCAGTTGATTACAACAATTATTACATAAAAGAAACAGTCCTTAATTTTTTTTAAATAAAACTCGTTGTTTACTATCACCCGTCTGCGTTTTCGTGAACGTTGCGTTTACACCCAGTATACCATATTATAAATAATGCCACAATTCCAGTATTCAATTTTACTTTTGATTGGCAATTGAAGCCGAGATCCCTTTGCCATTGGTTGCACTTGTCAAAGTCAAATCATTTATTTCAATTAAACCATAATTTGGTACTTTTGAAACGTCAACAAATACAAAATAAATAATAGTCTGTCAGTCAGTGCGTCAGTGAAACTAGGTGAAGCTAGGTGCTCATTCCAAAATGTAGATTCGAATGGAGAAGAACGAGCAAGAAACTCTACTCGTTACTCTTTTTAAAAAAGTATGTAAGTTGTGAACTACTAGATTACAAAATATTGTAATTAGTACTCAACTTCTTTTCACAGACATGTTACAAAATGTATAAAGGATTGCATTCAAAGAAAGCAAGTAATTTAAACGCAAACGTTTAATTTTTTCACATAAGTAATATATCTTTTACTAGCTTCTGTAACTTGCTTCGCCCGCGTCCCACGGGGATTAAAGATTCGCCTATGTGTTAATTCAGACCATAAACTTCGTTCCATATGTCATTCCAATTCGTTCAGCTGTATCGACGTAATTCATTAACACATACACAACAACAAACTTTCGTGATCGATAAGTGAAATAAAAAATATCACGTGTATCCCTTGTAGGTCGTGTTAATAGTGGTGAGCTCAATACTAATATAAATTGTCTGAGGCACAGGTTTTGAACCTAATTCAGCCACACTACATAGCATGTCATAGCAATAATGTAGAATTAATAAGACATAAAAACGTAATTTTCCTTTATACTTTTTGAATAAAATGTTAAATAACTTTTGCTTATTATTTTTACACACTTTTTTGTATGTTTTTTCAGTTTGTATACAGGAATCGAACCCGTAACACGTTATGATACAGACGATCACACAGCCACTGTCCCTGAATTTGGATTTAACAGTTTGAAATTGAAATTACTTAACAATCAGCTATCATTTTTACATCCAATTAGAAATTTTATGTAAGGCCTACTTAAGATTACTAATTGGAAAATTTTCTAAGCGCTTCAGATAGTATTTGAAACCTGTTTGTATTACCTGCCCAAAGAGGTCCGTAGCCTGCGGGTTTCTCAAATGTTCAGCGAGCCCTGTGGGTCCTGGAGCTACGCTCTTCTTTCTAAGACCTGAGAAGTCCCAAACTCTAACAGATTGGTCCAAAGAGGCGGAAACCAGAAGGTCTTCTGTCGGGTGGAATTGTGCACACATCACATAATGATTATGGCCAGTAAGGACACTGATGCACTGTCTAGATTGCCAGTTCCATATTCTTATGGTCTAAAAAAAAAACACAAATTAATATTAAACCTTCCCTTGGAAATGCATGCAGGAAATCATTATGAAGTAAACAATTAAATCATCATTTAAATGATTGTTTTTCTTTTTACAGTGAATTTAGTGTGAGGTTTTTATATGGCTGCCTATTATGACTGCCTCGTTGGCCGAGTGGTCGTAAGTGCGACTGCCAGGCAAGGGGTCTTGGGTTCGATTCCCGGGTCGGGCAAAGTATTACTGGATTTTTACAAAATTCTCAGTAGTAGCACGGAGTCTGGAATTGTGCCCGGTATGTGGCATAATGGTCACCCCCTATTACATGGGACTCATAACATAAATAGTGAAAAGTGGGTGTCACATTGTACAGTGGCATAATGTGCACCTCTGCCTACCCCTTCGAGGATAAAAGGCGTTATGTTACGATGATGATGATTGTATATGTACTTTGCATATGGTTGTATATAAAAATCTCACACTAAAGTCACCGTTATATCCAAAAAGAATCTTATACAATAACCTAGCGACTCTGGTGCGATTTCACCCACTCTGTTCGGCTCATACAGATCGTTTGTCAATGTTTTATAGACTAAAAACTCCCTCGACAAATCCAACACAAAGATAATTATTGAATTCAGATCAGTCGTTCTGGAGATCGGCGCGTACAATAAAACAAAACTTTAGCATTATATGTACAATTGTACATTACGGGCCAGAAATACATATAGATAAGTATGACACTTTCTTTTATAAAATATAACAAACTTTATATTTACTCAGTAAATACTTAACTCTAACTATAAAATATGATAAGGATATGAACATGGTATGCACATAAATTAATCCAATTGAATTGAATCTTATACTGTTAATGCAAGCGAAAGAGGTATGTAGGAATCATAGTAATTGGTGTTCCATAGTCTCTGCCTAACCCCATGGGAGACAGGTGTGAAGTTATGTATGTATTCAAAGTCAAAGCATTTATTTCAATAAAACCATAATTTGGTACTTTTGAAATGTCAACAAATACAAAATAAATAATAGTCTGTCAGTCAGTCCGTCAGTGAAGCTAGGTGAAGCTAAGTACTCATTCCAAAATGTAGATTTGAATGGAGAAGAACGAGCAAGACAAAAAGAGTAACTCAATCAGTTACTCTTTTTAAAATAATCTCTCTCTTTTTAATTTAATAGTACATACATACGTATGTACTATTATATAAAGCTGAATAGTTTGTTTGTTTGGTTAAATGCGGTAATCTCCAGAACTACTAGCCCGATTTGAATAATTCTTTTTGGGTTAGATAATCCATTGATCGAGGAAGGCTATAGGCTATAAAACATCACACTACGATCAATAGGAGCCGAACAGAGCGGGTGAAATCGCAGAATAGCTAGTTGAAAAATAAACCATATAATAAATATGAATAAAGTTCAACAAACCTGGTCGTCGGAAGCACTCAAAATCCATGGATATTCGTGATGAAAGAATGTTGTGCGTATGTAGTCCAAATGTCCCAACAGGGTAAATAGACAACGCCTTTGCTTGTAGTTCCATACCTGGAAACATAAATAATACATTTAAATATACTATTTATATTATATTATCTTTCTATTATCTTCTTGTCCCACTTGATTTTATAACCGCTACTGATTTCAATACCTATTAAAAGTACCCTTTGTGCCCTTTGTACCCAGACCATAAACTATCCTAGTTCCAAATTTTATTCTAATCCCTACAAACATTCTTCATTTATTCAAATTTTAATAGAGTTATTACATTTGATGGTTTTTATATCACTCTCACTCATCACAACTCGCCAACTTTGGCATTTATAATTTTAGTAGGATGTTTATGTTTTTCTTATTAGTAATGGACTAATGATATGTACAAAGGAATCCAATTATAATGACATCGTACAAAAAGGTTCTAAAAAATATTTTAGGTCTCTTGTTATAGGTATGTATTTGAAAAGAGAAACAGAAATAAATAAATTAAAATAAAAAATGAACTTGGGTTAAGTTCGGTATATATATATATAATATATCGGTGACCGATCTCCACAAACTACATTATAGACCTTATTTCCAATGCTTAGAGAATACTTTTGTATGAACAAATTTAGGGGATGAATTTCAACGGGTTAATAAATATGATATGTCATCATATATTTGTTGTATTTTATAAATAGATTTTTTTATTAAGCAATCTGCCTGCTTTTTTATTTTATTCTCACTAATACCAGCCTTTAACACTATCTATTGTGTATAGAAAACATAGCTGTAGTTAAATTATCAAATCCATAACCAAACACTGATAATAATAAATTAAATACGGTCATTGAATTTGGACAAAAGTTATAAAAAATGGGTCATGATAACCAACATGTCGACAGGGATCTCATTATATCCAATTATTTCATTTTTTTTTATGAAACCTGAATTTTGTTGTGTAATTACTTCATATTGATGCTTGTCAATAGGTATAGCCGGAATCATAGTAAATGGATTCTACTTTATTAATATACTGTCTAATTAGAAATTATTCTACTTCTAATTAGATTTATATAATTAGTATATTACCGATAACTGTTTAATCATAGTTCTAGTTGGTGAATTAGTTAATTAGTAATGATATTTATAGTTAATCTTGAAATAACTGTTGAAGAAGTGAACAATTATTATGAGTAAGTGCAAGAACGTTAAAAAAATGTGGACATAGTCGTGTGAAACAACAACTGCGGCACCTAGTAACCCAGTATAAACTTACACGCAGAATACACACATATTAACACAAAGGACAACTGTCGCGTGACATAGTCCGTCATTACACTTCATATACATTACATTGTTGCAAGCACATGCACAATTAAATACACCACTGACATTTTGGTGCTACAATAATTTCTATATGACATTACATTCACCTTTTTATCAACATTTTGGGTAAATGTAGCTATGTTCATATTTCACCAAACATATTAACTATTGCCTTTTACATCAGCAATTCTGAGACAGTTAAAGGAGTTAAAATACTAAATAAATTGTATGTTGAGTGAACCTTTCTAATTAGAATTTTACTGTGTTCCTGATGACAGATCAATCTGATATTTGGTACACAATATTAAAGTTGATGACCATATAATTATTTCACTACTATTTCAGTTATGGATATCAAATGATAGAGCTTGTTTGGCAGAATACAGCTCATTAAAACTATTTAGCATAAACAATATTGCACCTACTGCTTTTGTACCATCCAATTGGTTGACTGTCAGAGAATGCCTATAGCATTAAGTCCGCCAATTTCACATTGTATGTGCAATAAAGTTAAAAAAGTACGAAATATTTATTTTGTGTTATGTACTTGTTATTGTTATATAGGTGTAGGCTCTGACTAGTGTATCAGATAGGTGTATTACCAGTATTGGTATTCAACCGCATAAGGTATAGTTTAACCAGGTATTCTCATCACCTCTCTGTATATAACTTCGGTTATTAAAACATTCCTCTAAGTAAGTACAAGTTGTTCCTAGCGACAATTAATAAACCAGACCTCGGATATGTTATACGTGTCATAAACATGACGAAACATACAGACAACAAATTGCACTCAAAATGCACATCCTGCTTACAAACCTTGATCTTATAATCGTCGCCACCGGACACGAAGAGTGGTTGTTGAATGTGGAAGCATATTCCACGTACAGGACCATCATGCTCATCGAATTTCTCCAACAAAGTACACATACGATAATCCCATAGCTGTATCACGCCATTGTGTAAACTAGCCAAAACCCATGGCCGCTTCGCATGAAAGGATATACCTTTCACCCTCGCCGACTTAGTTTCAAACTTTGTAAGCATATCTCTAGTCTAATTTAGAGATATACGGAAAAAATCCCATAAAATAAAATCCTTCCACACAATCAAATGTCAGACAACCGGCTGACGTGACACGTCCAACAAAATTAGAGGTGATCCTAATAATAATACTATATAATTAGTATGGTTATAAATAATAACGTACTAAATGGCATTTAATAGATCGGTAAACTACAAATCGATAAGCATCCACTTGATGTATGTGCAACGATAGAACTATATCTACTGAAATGTGAGATCACTGTATTCATTTCTCTCCCGTGCGACAAGTATAAATATAAAATAAAATCAGTATAATAATATGATACTTTACGTAGGGTGTATTTTAAACGGACCTCATATGAGAAATTCGAATATAATCGGTTTTTATGCTCTAAGTCATACTCTATTCAGTTGCTATCTTTATGGCAACACTGTCAAGTCTGTCAACTGTCAACTCAAGTATTTTTTTTAGTCACATGATCACATCGAAGTAGCTAAAATTGTTTACCAACACAGTTTCACATTTTAATTGCTATTCAGTATTGGACATAATGTGATTAAAGTTATTCATAAAGTAATGTAAAACTTTGAACGTTATATATTACCGATAACTTTATGTCAATACTTCGTCAATTACGAGAGATTTGAACTACAAAATAAATATAACCTCAAAGTTATATCATGTGTACAGAAAAGTTGAAAGATTCGGGAAAACTATGCATTCCAGGCATGCGCCTGAGTTTATCGAACAAGGAGTTTGTGTCTGGACCAGGAACGTATGAACTCAGAGGATACATTTATGCTACCTTGTGTGGGACTCTTAAAATGGAACAGGATGAAAATGAGGTATTTTAAGTGTCTAGTACAGCTATTAGTGAAACGAAATCTAGTTACCATAGCGAACGGTACACTGTCTTGTATCCACTATGTTTACAACCACCACAACTGTCGCGTGTAGCTTCTTTGATATGGTCTGCTACTGCATGGAGCGTTCTTTCACTCCAACTAGATCCACCTTAATTATATTATTTGCTTAATTTGGTTACTTTTTCTGTCGGGACACTTTGCTCACAACAACTTAGTTTATTCTGTATCTGGTTCATTGTTCGGTGTTTTCCAAACTTTTATGTTGACCTCTGTACAGTTCAACTGGTTGCTGAGACAATGTCGGTACTGTTGGAAGCAACTCGGTCTGCTGTACTCTCCTTCTGTCAGAGTTTTAGGAGACAAATGGCCTTAAAGTTTTACTACCTACTTCTTACATATGAAAGTTATTATAGAAAACCTACTTATCTATATTTTCAGGTAACAGTAGTATCAGTAGAAAGTCCAAGGACACCGAGTATTCTACCTAGGACGGGAGATATAGTCACTGCAAAGGTTACAGTTGTGAATCCACGAATGGTGCAATGTGTAATACTATGTGTTGGCTCATCAGTACTAGTGCGGCCATATCGAGGGATCCTGAAAAAGGAAGATATAAAAGCAACGGAAAAAGATAGAGTGGACCCATACAAGTGTTATAGACCTGGAGATGTGATCTTGGCAAGAGTTGTATCCTTTTTATGGTTATTACTTTGACTGTAATCCAATTTGAGTATTACGAGTTACTTAACCCTTTGAGTACCATCATTTTATGGCGCATCCACACATGCCCGGCGGCACGGTCGGCGGCATGGCCGGGGGCACGGCCGCCGGCATTTGCCGCATCTCAGCCGCGGTACGCGCGGCTTTTGGTTGCCGGCGGCAGTTTGCTTGCGGCTTCGATACGGAGTGGTAGTGTTGTCGTAAAGCCGGCGGCCTGCATTCAGCGGCAAGGCGGTCTGAAATCCGGCGGCATGTGTGGATGCGCCATTAGACACAATTAAAGAACAACAGGTTGCGGTCACCTGTGTCCTCGCTGTGTTTGACAGTTTAAAGTGTTGTGTTGCTTGATAGGATTTTCTTAGAAAAACCATAACATTTTTCTATCATGTTTTTAGTTTCACACATATTTGTGCCAAATCTTGGCGTGAGGCATGAGCAACATTAGAAAAGTCTTATAACCAATTCTAAACTATCCAGAAAGTTATATATTAAAAAATATAACACTATCCAATAAACTAAGCTTATTTTTAATACAAAAATAATCATATTACAAAATAATTAGAGTTAGAAAAATATCGCTACAGAAGAATATGATTGATAATGATAGAGAATGTCCGTCCAATCCTATAGCCGCCAACAAAATGGCTGAGTGTCAGCGCCTGTGTTTCCAACACACCTCTCAAACCCCTCTAGCTGGTAGTCATTCTGCCTCACACCACCATGACGTCACTGCTTGGCCTGGCCCTTCCTACCGCAGCGCGTTTTTCTGCTAATTATTGTCCTTAACAAAAAAATTCAGCTCCCTATGACGGAAATCCACTGGTACCACCTGTCAACAGCTGAGAATGAACTAGGAGTTGTAATAGCGACTGCGGAAGGTTCTCCTCAGGGTATCAGCATGTTACCTATAAGCTGGTCAGAAATGCAGTGCCCTAAAACACTGGTCAAGGAGTCCAGGAAAGTGGCAAGAGTCATACCTGAAAATATTAACCAAGCTTTGTTCCCGGTCAAGAATAATTCAACAACAGAGTTAGAAATAGAACAAGATAAATAAATAGTTAAATATAATCATATTTTTTTAAAGTTACTGTTTTATTTCATTCTTATTCTGTCTTTTTAACGGTTTGTGGGCCAACTTGTTGCATGCATAATTGTAGAATTTGGGATGTTGTATCCAGTTCCTCAGTCAGGCAACAATATTATTTTTCGGTTTCTTGAGTAGTAGTATGGAGTCTAAAATTATGTCGAAATATATTAGGTATGGTAATGGGCTGAAAAATAACTATTTGCATATCTGTCTACCCCTTCGGGAATTAAAGGCGTGTTACGTATCGGTGCCGACACATGTACCTACACCGTGATCAACGCCTCGTCACGAGGCCCAGATCTACTGAATCAGAATATTACACCTACTTTGATGTCGCGGAGAACCTAACGGGTAACTGGGGTTTCGGTTCGACGTGCAGGAGAAGGAACGGGGTAGTTTTTAGTTTTTAGAGTCACATTCCCTCCCGCTTCACCCAGACGGGAGTAGTAATTCGATGATATTCCCCCCTTAAAAAACACCTACTTTGATGCAACGAAGGTTCTACGGAGTAGGTATTGCAACATCCAAACTGCTAAGTCGTCTTCTCATGTTGCCGCCTCGTGCCCAGCTGCGAATCGCTGCATCATCAATCACCCCACCAGATTTAACCTTAAAACCGTCTTACGAAATAATTTTAAGACATTAAAGCAGTGTTGTTCCAACTTCGAACGCATTCACACTTAGGTTAGTTAGATTTTAGGAGTTAGGTATCATGTAACTTTAATTATAATAAACGTAAGTAAAATTATTATAGTTTCCATTTGTACCACCTGTCGGTGGCAGAAACATAACTGGCGTCATAATATTACCTACCTTACCTATGTCGCAAGCGCATGACTACGTACATAAGCATATAATAAATTTTGTGATTTATGTTTACCTACACTTTAAAATTGAACGGTAAATTGAAAACATTATACTGCAACGTTATTATTCTATATTCCGTGGTTATTACTATAGTTATTATTCTTCAGATAAAATCAATATTATTGTTTTGTTTATGATTTAGATAGGTACGTACCTAATACCTATATTCCTATTATTGTTTCGAGTAACTCTCGAAATTGATCGAGGACACTCGATAGGTTTCGAGTAACACTCGAAATTGATCGAGGACGCTCGATAGGTTTCGAGTAACTCTCGAAAGTGATCGAGGACGCTCGATAGTTTTTGAGTAACTCTCGAAATTGATCGAGGACGCTCGATAGGTTTCGAGTAACACTCGAAATTGATCGAGGACGCTCGATAGTTTTCGAGTAACTCTCGAAATTGATCGAGGACGCTCGATAGTTTTCGAGTAACTCTCGAAATTGATCGAGGACGCTCGATAGTTTTCGAGTAACTCTCGAAATTGATCGAGGACGCTCGATAGGTTTCGAGTAACTCTCGAAAGTGATCGAGGACGCTCGATAGTTTTAGAGTAACTCTCGAAATTGATCGAGGACGCTCGATAGTTTTCGAGTAACTCTCGAAAGTGATCGAGGACGTTCGATAGTTTTCGAGTAACTCTCGATATTGATCGAGGATGTTCGATAGTTTTCGAGTAACTCTCGAAATTGATCGAGGACGCTCGATAGCTTTCGAATAACTCTCGAAAGTGATCGAGGACGCTCGATAGCTTTCGAGTAACTCTCGAAATTGATCGAGGACACTCGATAGGTTTCGAGTAACACTCGAAATTGATCGAGGACGCTCGATAGCTTTCGAGTAACTCTCGAAATTGATCGAGGACGCTCGATAGTTTTCGAGTAACTCTCGAAATTGATCGAGGACGCTCGATAGGTTTCGAGTAACTCTCGAAATTAGTTGAGGACGCTCGATAGGTTTCGAGTAACTCTCGAAATTGATCGAGGACGCTCGATAGGTTTCGAGTAACTCTCGAAAGTGATCGAGGACGCTCGATAGTTTTTGAGTAACTCTCGAAATTGATCGAGGACGCTCGATAGGTTTCGAGTAACACTCGAAATTGATCGAGGACGCTCGATAGTTTTCGAGTAACTCTCGAAATTGATCGAGGACGCTCGATAGTTTTCGAGTAACTCTCGAAATTGATCGAGGACGCTCGATAGGTTTAGTAACTCTCGAAAGTGATCGAGGACGCTCGATAGTTTTAAAGTAACTCTCGAAATTGATCGAGGACGCTCGATAGTTTTCGAGTAACTCTCGAAAGTGATCGAGGACGTTCGATAGTTTTCGAGTAACTCTCGATATTGATCGAGGATGTTCGATAGGTTTCGAGTAACTCTCGAAATTGATCGAGGACGCTCGATAGGTTTCGAGTAACACTCGAAAGTGATCGAGGACGCTCGATAGTTTTCGAGTAACTCTCGAAAGTGATTGAGGTCGCTCGAAATTGATCGAGGACGCTCGATAGTTTTCGAGTAACTCTCGAAAGTGATTGAGGTCGCTCGAAATTGATCGAGGCCGCTCGATAGGTTTCGAGTAACTCTCGAAATTGATCGAGGACGCTCGATAGGTTTCGAGTAACTCTCGAAAGTGATCGAGGACGCTCGAAAGTTTTCGAGTAACTCTCGAAAGTGATTGAGGTCGCTCGAAATTGATCGAGGCCGCTCGATAGGTTTCGACTGACTCTCGAAATTGATCGAGGACGCTCGATAGTTTTCGAGTAACTCTCGAAATTGGTTGAGGACGCTCGATAGGTTTCGAGTAACTCTCGAAATTGATCGAGGACGCTCGATAGGTTTCGAGTAACTCTCGAAATTGATCGAGGACGCTCGATAGGTTTCGAGTATCTCTCGAAATTGATCGAGGACGCTCGATTGGTTTCGAGTAACTCTCGAAATTGATCGAGGACGCTCGATAGGTTTCGAGTAAATCTCGAAATTGATCGAGGACGCTCGATAGGTTTCGAGTAACTCTCGAAAGTGATCGAGGACGCACGATAGTTTTTGAAGTAACTCACGAAAGTGAACGAGGATGCTTTATCAGTTTCAAAAACGCTTAATAGGTTTATATAGGTAGAATAGGTAGGCGCCAAAAAGTAAGCTCGGAAGGATTTTTGTATCGGATTTCGAGCGCCATCAACCAGGAGTGGGCGGCGCGTAGTAGATTCTCCTTTTTTTTACCCGTCCTACCTTTTATAGTCTATACAATTTGGGCCCTCAACTGGTATAGGGCGACAAAAAGTAAGCTTAGAGGAATTCTTGTATCGGATTTGGGGTGCCATTAACCGGTATTGTACGGCGAGTTACTACTCGCTACCATTTATAGAAACCGTCTAAATTCTTAGTCGGTTTCGACTTTATAATTTTTAGGAGTGTACTAGACACTTACTATCTAAAAACCAACCCGTTCCTTCTCCTGCACGTCAAGCCGGAGCCCCGGTAACCCGTTAGGTTCTCCGCGACTCCGGCCCTATTGGGCCCCATCTGTGGTGGTCTGATGGCTCTTTGAGGCGCGCGCGAAACGCGACGCGCCGTACGCTCGGGTCTGTTTCTGGTCGGACGGGGAGCCACCCATGCTCGCCGTCCGCAGGCCCGCGATTACGGTGGCCGGAGATCGTCCCGCGATCGTCCCGTGCCCGGTGTGTCCTTCGCGATGGCTGAGTTGCGAGGAGGCAGCGCTTTGCTGCCTCACGCGTCCCGCCTCCTCCTTAGCTAGCATAACTGTTTCGCAAAAGAAGGAGACGGCATCCCAGTCCCCCTCGCTCCGCATCATGACCTGCACTAGGCCCGGACGCGAGAGGTCGCCATCGCCGATCACTTACCTGAGGGCACGGCGGTGCTCAGCTCACGTAGGGCATTCCCCCACTGTGTGTTCCACCGTGTCCTCAGGGCGGTCCTCGCAGTGATGACACCCGGGCGTTTCCTCTCGCCCCATCAGACACAGGTACATCCCGAAACTTCCATTTCCGGTGAGGACCTGCGTCAGGCGGTAGGTGAGGAGCGTCTCTCAAGGCACTCCTCAAAGAGGGGACTTACCGCTGCAATGGCAGCGAGCCCAGTCCTCGGTTGCGATAGTCGTTGCTGCCATTCTGCCATGAGATCGCGCCGGATCTCTTCCCGCCACGCACTTATCTGGCGCGGCAAGGGACAAGCCCGCCACAACCTCCCAAAACCGCTGCAACTCCTGTAAGCCAGGATCTACAGTAGATACAACCATAAAAACACCGGAACACTGAAGTTTCGCGGCTCAGTTTCAAGGAACGGCGCGTCCCAGGGACATGAACAACTGTCTTGGTTCCCGCAACGAAGTGAATTAGAAGATATTATAAGAGGAGTAGAAAAAAACGATAGTTTCCACTTCCCTTGGTGAATTACTGCAGGAGACAGAGTGAATTAAGCCCAAAGGCACAAAGAAAAGAGACTGTACACCTGGTAACTGGGTAAACCCCAGTCCCAAGCACCACAGAAATTTGACTAAAATCTAAGTGGGTCCTATATGTGAGCTGTTATACTTGCTTCCAGTAATAGGTATGGCAAAAACGCCTAAACGCACGGAAATTCGTTCTAGATTCCACAAGGTCCGTATAATAAGCTACACCTGAAGAAACAATTAAATTACTTAACATAGTGTTACGTTCATATTGCCAGACATCACATCACATCATCAGAGCATGGTGAATCAGTTTAAATGAGAACAATTTGCTTTTAAAGTTGCCGTGGCCAGTAAGAAATTGGGCAATACAGTGATCCACCTCCAACCATGTCGCCATGAGCACAGGCAGGGCCTCAGTGCTAACCGTCCTATAAGCCTTACACAAGAAAATCAAGGCTAGACGCTGGCCTTGAAGAAGTTTTCGCCGTACCGCGCCTATTGTGGTCCTATCAGCCCAGACAGGTGCCCCGTAGCACACACATCCCAGGTAGGTTGCTCCGTATATGATCCTGAGCGTAAAAAAAGAGAGACCGCAGGTGGCTTTTGAAATTCGCGTTAGCGCATAGAAGTTATTTTTGGCTTTTTCACTAATTGTCTTAATATGTTCAATGAAAGAAAAGTTTTTTTCCAAAACTAAACCGAGATAGCAAACAAACTC